CTCAGACATGCCCATCGCGGAAGCGATGATAGCGAACAGCTATGTTAGACATAGCAATTTGTGCTGGGATTACACCATTCAACAGCTTGCAAGGCTGATGAATTGACCGCCACTATTTTTAGCCTGGTATCCACCACACAGCTGTTTGAAGTGACTTTTTCTGGCCAGTGAATCCCTATTTTTCATTTTTCCATTTTTTTTACACACACACCACACCACATACTCCGGCATACACTGGCTGACACACACACACACACACACACACGCGCGCACACGTGCCCACACGCATGTGCACACACCATCACCACCACCACACATACTCACTCACTCACTCCGACACTGGACTTATGATAGGAGTCGGATGATGAAGCACGTGCACTTCATGCAAACCTGCCTCTACGTCCACATCCGATTCGGCAGGACTCAACCAGCCTTGTGTGTGAAGTTGTGGTGGGCACAAGCGCAAAGTGGCAGTGCAGAGCGTAGGAGCCTGAGATAGGCGTAGGTGTATACTGCTGGAGATCATCATCGTCCGCTCTTCATTGTCATTTGGTGAAACGATAATATATGAAGCGGCCTGGTCGGCATGTGACTGGGGAACTGAGAGATTGTGACACGTTCTAGAACGATGCAAAATATCACTGGTGTAAGCAGGCGGAGGTGTTCCCGTCCCTTCAGAGTGTTGGTGACCAGGCAGTATGACGCACACGCTGGCATACGAGGGTGGCGGTGCCGTGGACAGTACACCGTTCAGCTCCAGATGAGCTGGCCGGCAAGCTGGCTCCTCCGGACTGCTAGCGGTGCTCGCTGTGGGTGGTGGTGTTGGTGGTGGCGGTGGTGGCGGTGATAGCGGTGGTGGTGGTGGCGGTGATGGTGGCAATGGAATAGCAGGCATAGCTGGAATCTGAGGTTCAACTGGGTCCTGCCTGGCTGGACAGAGGTGCATGATCCAGCGTCTCCTGAAGTCCGCCACGCCCGAGATAATAAGCAGTAAGAAGATACTGCTTAGTAAAGTGAGCGCTGCGTTCATTTAAGGGAGAAAGAAGTAGAGAGCCATTGACAAACCAAAAGCGAAAATTGCCAGAAGCAACCAGAAGACTGGGTGGTTGAACATGTCATCCGTAACTTGGCCGCATCTGTTGACATGGACCCGCCACCGCATCCGTAGCACATGCCGCGGGAGCCAGCGGTCTTCATAATCGTTTGGTGCCGGGCGAATATTGGCCCTTCTAGGCCAAGTTGGGTGAAGTCCCGAGATATTGGGTGCTGCAGCAGCATTGCGGTTTGCTGGTCGTGCAGGTCCCGGGACGGCTTCTGGGTCTTGCATACTCATGCAGTGGTTGGCCAAGCCGCGCGCCGTACGCTCTCTGTCCTGGTTAAAAGTCCGCAGAGATTATCTTTCCCGTGTGCTTACACACACACACACACACACACACACACACACACACACACACACACACACACACACACACACACACACACACACACACACACACACACACACACACCTGACCTTTGACCTGACCTTTGACGCCCATCGCCGGAGGCGATGATAGCAATGCTACGGCAGAAGCCATAGCAACTTGTGCTGGGATTACACCATTCAACAGCTTGCAAGGCTGAAGAATTGACCGTCACTATTCAGCCTGGTCTACACCATACAGCTATTTGGAGTGACATTTTCTGGCCAGTGAATCCCTATTTTTGGTCTTTTCATTTTTTTTTTTCCCCGCACACACATCACACCACATACTCCGGCATGCACTGGCTGTTGGTAACCACCCAGGAGAATGAAAGAAAAGTCAGGAAGAGTCTGAGAAAGAGAAGAAAGACGTGTGTGACCATAATCGTCGGGAATCGAACCCGCAATCTATTGATTGGAAATCGCTGCACATACCACTGCACCATATGGGACACACACACACACACACACACACACACACACACACACACACACACACACACACACACACACACACACACACACTACTACTACTACTACTATTGACAGCTGCCAGAAATGGCCACGCCGCTCCCCAAAGGGAGGTACACACACACACACACACACACACACACACACACACACAAACACACACACACACACACACACACACACACACACACAGACGCACCATGTACACATAAACAAAGAGGGTACGATTTTCAAAGACACTCCTTTCTTCTGGTGTCTTGCTGCGACCCAGTAGTGTAGTCTGACAGGTGACCTGCACCACAACTCACAAGTGGACAGGTCTGCGTATAAATCCATGAAAAAAAGTTTAAAAAACCAATACAGTCATGTACAACTCTGAAGAAACACAGTCATCTGAGCGGCAATACCTGACACAACGCCAGCATGATCACTACAAGATCCTGTGATACTGATGTAAGGTATGGCTACATTTACCTCTTCCGCTCCAACATCGTTTTTCTTGGTTTTCTTAATCCGGCCTAGAACGAGGCAGTTACACACACACACACACACACACACACACACACACACACACACACACACACACACACACACACACACACACACACACACACACACACACACACACAACACACACACACAAACACACACACACATGCACATGCACAGGCAGACAGACAGACAGACATACACAGAACAAAAAGGGCAATTCCATCACTGGTTGTTTACAACAGGCAGCAACACATCTGGTACAAACTAAACTCACATGCACACACGTACATGCACACACACACACGCGTGCACACACACATGCACACACACACACACACACACCACTGGACGCCCATCGCCGGAGGCGATGATAGCGATGCTACAGCAGAAGCCATAGAAACTTGTGCTGGGATTGCACCATTCAACAGCTTGCAAGGCTGAAGAATTGATCGCCACTATTCAGCCTGGTCTACACCACACAGCTATGACACACACACAGCTATGACACACACACACACACACACACACACACACACACACACACACACACACACACACATCCCCCCCCCCCCCCACACACACACACCTGTTGGCGGTAGCAACTCACCTCGCACAAACCAGTCGTCAGAACCAAGCACCCACACACGTTGCGACGGTTTCAAACTGTACAGCCCGAAAAGATAATACCAATCACAACACAGGTACTAAAGTGAAAAGAAACGTAGAACCATGGCCGGATATAAAACAGGTTATCTAGACAATCAAAGGTGCATACCAATACAGTGTACTGGATTGATTCCAGTACTGTCCTGCCATCGCCACCAACACCAGCACGTCAGCTAATGTCGTGGACATGGAAATCCGGTCGCACGTCTAGCGGCCCCAGGGCGCTGGCCATGCAGCCGTAGGTAAGCAGTACACGCATGCATGTATGCGCTGCTGGTCGCACCGGATCAACACAATCATGAACATGATTGTGCACTGCATGCAACACTCTCTACGTGCTGAGGGCGCCGGCCCCGGGCAATCAACTGGATTTCCATGTCCACGACAGAAGTTTGGAACTGGCGGCTAGTCCAAAGAAGAATGCCCAACTCAACGGAGTCTGTCTGTATGCATGTGTGCATGCAGTGAGTACAATGTACATCATAAATTTCATAATGACATCACAATGACATCACAATGACATCACAATGACAACAGACATGACCAGAAACTATACAATACAGCAACACTCAACATTGCCTTACTCGAATCGCCGTTTAGCAGTTGACGCTGGCCTTGATGACACAGGCAAAGGAGCTGCTGCTGGCTCTGCAACAAAGGCATCTCCAGGTACATTGATTTCAACTGTGACAGGCTCCTCATCCAGAAACTCGGCAGCAGGCATAGCAGGTGAAGCTCGACCAATGCTGTTGGGTGACGCGGGCTTTGATGATGACGGCGATTTATTCCTCTTCTTCGCGGTTTTATCTTTCCTCGCAGCAGCAGGATTGGCAGCAACAGCACGTGCATTATATTCCTGCTGCAGGCGTTGATGCGCGCTTGTCAAGGCGTTAGTTGCTGCCCTCCTGTCCGTGTCACCATGTCGACTAGCCGTGGTGTTTGTACCTTCTCCTATGGAGCTAGTTAGAGCCGGTGCAATGCTCTCAGAATTAGCTGAGCGCCCTGGAGTGCTGGCAGCAGCAGTACGACTAGGCAGAGCAGCAGCAGCAGCTGTGCCAGGACTGCGCGGCTGTGCTGTAACGCTGAGCGGCGACGCTTCACCATGAGTTGCCAGCGCGGTGATGGTGGTGGCGGCGGTGGCGGCGGGGGAGGGTGCTACGACGACGGGGGTAGCAGTCGGAGGAGCCCAGGCAATGGGCGGACGGTTGCCTGTCATGTAGGGACGCGATGCCCTGTGCGGTGTGAGCACCAGCTCATGCTGGTGTACCTGACCAGAGGCCGCCGTACATAGAGCATTTCTTGACATGCCGCCACCGCCACCGCTGCTTGACGCTGATGCTGAAGACAGTGCTGATGCAGTGAGAGATTGAGCAGTAGATAATGTTGATCTCTTGACGGGAACAACACAGACCACTGAACTAGCTTCTTCGCAATCGACGGGCACAAAAGACGAGGACGACGATGACGATGACGACGAGGAGGCAGTACTTACTGGAGGAGGAGGTGGCAGGTCTTTGCTAGCAGTACTCGCTGCTGACGCTACTGCAGCAGCGGAGGGAATCGGGACAGTGCGAGCATGAATTCTGGTTGCCACTGCTGCTGGCACTTGTACTGGCACTGCAGCCACAGCAGCAGATACTCTACCTTGTGTAGCTGTTGCCGAAGAATTAGTCAATGACATGGAGCTGGAACTTGCTGGGATGGTTACAGGTACTGCACCTGACGACGTAGGAACAGCCATGGATTCTCTCGGGACGTTAAGCGTACCTGGTGTTATCTGCTGGGACATGGCAGAAGGCAAGACCGCCGCCGCTGCTATCAGCTGGCTGGCTCCAAGACTATGCTGTGCATGATATCGCATGTCCGGCGCATGCCCACTGAGAGTCGAGTGGTACTGCTGCTGCTGATGATGTGATGCAGCATGAGATTGATGGTCAATGGACAGTTGCTGGTGAAGCTGGGACTGGGGTCCCTGGCGAGCATGGGCCAAAATAGCAGGCACTGGGTTGGCATTAATATTAGAAGCAGCATGACTATTGACTGCAGGCCTGCCAGCATTCGCGGCACGCTGATCTAGATATGGCGCGGCACTGCTATGGCCCTCAGCTGGTTCTTTTGTACGTGACGCACCAGCGTTGGTTATTGCTGCGGGCACCGGCTGTTGCACTGTTGAATGTATATATGCAGGCAGTGAAGAAGAGGATGCCATACTGATGACAGCAGCTACAGATTGTGCATACTTAGCACACTCGGCATTGCGCTCATAAAGATCTAGGCAAGGAGCAAAACACACACACACACACACACACGCAATCCAGTTCCATGATGCTACAGCAACATTGCACATAGGCACCGGATACACTGTGGTGTCTTGTATAAAAGCCTGTCTTGTACAGAAGCCTGTTCTGAATAGAAGCCTGATTTTTAAAGGGGAAGTCCGGTGAAAAATTTAAATTTCAGGGTCGGTAGAGTTTCGGGCGCTGAGTCGAATGGTGTTGGTCCCACGTGTCTCCGACAAAGCGTTCTCGAGATATTTTCGTTTGAAAAACTGAGTTTCGGGGGCTGCGCCATGACATCATGCGGCCGCGCCACACCCTCCGCAACGTCATAGCGTGCAGCTAGGTCAAAAGGAGTGCGTGAAAGCAATAGTGTCAGTGCTATTTCAATGATTTGGCGACCCATAGTAGGTGGTGCAAGCGACCCCAAAGATGTACTTCAAACTCCTTGTGAGAGTGAGGATGCAGCCATGGCTGACATTCATGACTTCTGTCTGGGGCTGAAAACCTCGGTATTCAGCTGAAGAAATGGCCGCGCGGGCTGGTCAAGAGTGAGCGCTGCTGCGTTTCCGACTGATGAAGAAGCAGCAGCTATTGCAGACGAGGCTGATATAATTATCAGATCGCTGGAGAGCAGAGTCGCCAAAATGGAGAAGAGTGATGCGAGTGCTCTAAATGTTGTTCCATACCGATTCACTTAGACTCCAGCAGCCTGCCACATGGTGATGTTTTGGTGCGAACTTGGCATATTTCGGACTACTCAATTGGAGAGCAGTGCAGGCTCTTTGAACCACAGGCACGACTCTTCGCTCGCAACGCTACGGGATCTGAAAGTTCTAGGTCCGGAAGCTGTTCGCTGTTTTGTCACTTGTCACGGGTGTGCACTCATCGCTGTAGCATAAATAATGAGGCGGGAGCGGAAAACTAAAATTGTCTTTCTCAAAGCACAACCACCGGCACCGGCAAGGAGAAACGCACGTTCCCTGACTACATGATCTGACTGTACAATACGACTGATACGAGTGTAGTACATGACAAGTCCGTGTGCTGACTAGTTTTCTGAGTCTTGTGAGTCGAGTCTTGTTGTTGTAGCTACCCCAGCAGCACGGCAGTGCGGGAGTAGTTTCCGTCTGTGCTGAGTGCTGTTTGTTGAATACATTACAGCTAGCGCTTAGCATGCACGCAGCGCATTGCTAGAGCCGTAGAGGCCAGTGTATGCCGACGGAAAAAGTCCAACTCGGAAACGGCTAAAACACGGTATAACCTCGAGGTTTACCGAGCTGAAAATCACAGGGTACGTAGTGTTTGTAACACTGAATCGAATGGTCTTGGTCCGAAGAAGCTGCGACAAACGGTTCCCCAATCGAACGCGCTCCGAATATGGCCGTTTTGTACACAACTAGATGGTGTGGCTACCTGGCTGCACGCTGTGACGTCATCACCTGGATCTGGGTGATGCGCGCTCAAATTCGCACATGTTCGATTGGGCGTATCTGACGAACCATAGGCCGCAGCCTCCTCGGACAAAGACCATTCGACTCAGCGCCCCAAACTCTACGGACTGTGAAATTTATATTTTTCACCGGACTTCCCCTTTAAGATACACTGTCAGCACATAAGCCTGGTTTAGTGTTGACATACATAGATACGTGATTTGAATAGAAGCCTGACTGGAATAGAAGCCTAGCACTGATATCGGCTTATACGGCCGTAAGCACCTGCTTTTATACGCGACATTACGGCATGTATCGGGAGAAGGCGTTTGTACGGATCTTTCTACTTCAGTGCATGTTTCCGTAGAAACTACTCTGCATGCACCCCGGCCCCATGGTAACACTGTAATCAATGGTGACAACCATCATCGTGCAATGCATCCATCTACGCAGACAGGCCTCTGTGGCGGATAAAGCAAAGCCCCACCCCCAGTTGTGAGTGCTGAATTAGCATTAAGATGCGGCACCGCTACCGCCTGGCTAGAGCCACAGAAACTGGCTTTTCAACGAAAAACGGTATCAAAAACTTTTGATTGGCATAAAAATGTTTACTTGCATGCAGCATATGTATGTATGTACGTATGTACAAAGGTCAAAAAGAATGGTTTCACCAATTATAGAAACATACGTTGTAACGCTGCGTTTCATGCACGTAGCTAAATGTATGTTTCTATAATTGGTGAAACCATTCTTTTTGACCTTTGTGGTTACGCTCCGCCCCTGTGGTGTTGAGCACTGTTGAAACCTGGGTATACCCACTTATATGTACGTATGTACGTATGTATGTATGTATGTCCGCAGATTGAGTATGTATGTATGTATGTATGTATGTATGTACGTACGTATGTATGTACGTATGTATGATTGATTATGTATGTATGTACGTACGTATGTATGTACGTATGTATGATTGATTATGTATGTATGTACGTATGTATGTATCCAAACTACAGCGGCACCACCCCTGGAGTGCTCCACCTGTCACCGGACCTTCCGCTCGACTAGCGGCCAGACACGCCACCGATGCGGCAGGGTGACTAGTACCATTTGACTTGTCCCTTCGGGGACTGCGTAGCCAGACTTGGCAGCAAGATCAAGATCAAGATCAAGATGTATGTATGTATGTATAAGAAAACAAGATTCCTTTTGAGTCTCTCTCCCCTCTCCCGGGGAGACCCATGTGACCAGTTTTGGCAGTGAGCAACAAGTATGTATTGTATTGTATGTATGTATGTATGTTCTGAATTATGGGCAAGTCCTCCTAGATACGGGCAGTGCTCGGTCCCAAGCTGCCCGGAAAAGGGGAGTTCAGTTCTACTGTACCTGCATGGGCTGAGCGGATGAGTGCCCCGGCGCTATCGGCCTGTGCCTTCATGATACCAATATCCACTCTGCACAAATGAGACCAGGAGCACAAACACAGAAGATAGAGAAAATAAAACACATGAATATTATGCACGGTGAACTAACATGCTGCACACCATCATGGGGAACCACACATACACCCACCCACACACACATACACACATACTTGTACTTGTACTTGTTGCTCACTGCCAAAACTGGTCACGTGGGTCTCCCCGGGAGAGGGGAGAGAGACTCAAAAGGAATCTTGGAATGATGACTCAATTGGCTATTGAACCACCCAACGGCCGACACCTCCTGAGATCCACCAAAACTCTGGGTGGACTTGAAAATGATCCCACTTATGGGCTCGCCACACCTCAGTAACACACACACATACACACCCACACACATACACGCACCCACACACACACATACACCCACCCACACACCCACACACATACACACCCACCCACACACACATACACACACACCCACACACATGCACATACACCCACACCCACACACGCATACACACACACACACAGACACACACACACACACACACACACACACACACACCCATGCACATACACCCACACACGCGCACACACGCACGCACCCCCCCCCCCACCCACCCAGATATACCGTAAAGTACCGCCAGAGCGCCCCGTCTCGCGAGATCACCTCACCTTGATTTTACAGCCAGGGAAAGGAAAATCGTATCGCAGAGTGCAACTAAGTGTGTGGTGTGAGAACCTTAGTGTACTAAGGTCACACTTAGCAGGTTTTTGTGTGGATCTCGTGTCCGCTCAAAGGCAAATTGAGTACGGATTGACTGTACAACGTGTAATGTGTGTACAAGGTTCGTGTCGTATGACCTACAGACAGGACACCACCTCCAGAATACCACCACGAAAGGACGAGACGGCGGGGCGCTCTGGCGGTACTTTTCGGTCCACACACAAATCGCAAATGCACTATAAGCCATACATGTAAGACAAATGCTTGTTGCTGAGTGCTGCATCAGCCTAGACAGCTCTACTGAGAATCTCATAGACTTTCAAAATCCAAAAACTTAGCAATGAAGCCATTTGGTGTACATTTCCTAGTGGAAATAGCAGCCAACTCAATAAGTTATAATCAAGAGTAAATAAGCTCCCGCTCCCAAGAGTGTGCAACTGTGCGTATGGGATCTCCGACGGCGAAAACTCACATCCCGTGCCTCACGCATGATTCGTGCTACGCACAAAGAAGGATAGTGTGCGCGCAATCCGAATGCGGCGATTATCTGCTATGATCATGCTGGGGATTGGCATGTGCGCAATGAGTTTCTGCCAGGAGTGCTTTTTTATTTCTCTGCTGCTCGCTAAAAGCGGGCTGGAGCGTGCAACAGCCACACTACGCACGTGATGTGAGTTTTCGAACCACATAGAAAAGGTATCAGGAGTTGCACTCTTGGAGCTTATAAACTCTTGGTAAAATCTGCGTAGTCAACTTCCAATAGGTTTCATGAATCATCGTATTCTACGAGATGTTGCACATCTGCAAAAGGCTTGCTAGCAGTAGGTGCATTGCGGAATACAGCAGGTACCGCTGGGAAGCAGCAGCAGCAGCAGCTGCCGCAGTAGCAGCAGCAACAGCAGCAGCAGCAACAGTAGGACACAGAAGCATTTATGTATAAGTAAACATACTCAATTTGACTGAATCGCCTCTTAAGGGCTGGAGAAAGCTGATTAAGCCGTGCTCTAACCTCATGATTTGCACCTGAAGAAAACAAATGGAAAGAAGGGCATGTACAAGAAAGGGTGCAATCCTTGAGACAAAGCTCACAGTAACAAGGTAGTCAACCAAACAATTCAATCATCATTACCAAAATAGGTGGCCTGTCTCTAAAACAGAGTACTAATACATACGTACTACAATAGAATGTCGATCATCCGAATGTCAACTAAGGGTGCGTTCTTAAATCCTCTCTGAAAAGTTGGAGACTCTGAAAAGTTCAAGAGCTGTTCTTATATCCTCTCCGAATTTTAGGAGGCTCTCCAAAGCTCTCCAAGCTTTAGAGGTGGTTGATAGTTGGAGATTCCCGCGGTTTGGGATCAGCGCATGCAAACTACAGCTAAAAGCCATGTGTTGATCATGAGTGTACGCATTTCCCTTTTCACATATGGCCATACGCACAATGCATATCACATTCGTGGCACTCAAGATTGCGGCCCCTTTGGCGCTTCATATTGCTTCACATGTGCAAAATATCTCCGAATTCTTCGTGACCCGTTCTTAAATTATACTAGTCTCTTCGACTTCTCTTTTCTTCTTCTCCGAGAAGCTAGAGAATGTAAGAACGCACCCTAAGTTATCCGAACGCTCGACTATCCGAAATACTTGCCTGAGCTAGATTGAAGGGACAAAATGAGTTTTTGCTGATTTTCACCTCACACAGCACCATTCAAATGGCGCACAGGATGTATGGCAGCATCAAAATATACCCCCATGCCGTTGTGTCTTATTCCCTTAGTACATGTACTGCTAAAGAGATTGAGGAAATGATGAGAACATGAGGGAATTTATAGAAAAGAAAAAAGGACCAGGGAACTACAAGTTATGCTATTAGGGACCTTTCGCATTTGCTACGAAACGAATGCGAAACGAAAGTTTGATTCGGCTCGTAATCGTTTCGTTGAAAACAGATTTCAGGTTTCGCAAGTCGTCATGCAAATGTGCATGGCAACTACGAATACGGCCGCGGGCGCCGGTAGCTTGGCGTACGGGTTTTTACACGCACACGTGCATGGATCATGGAATCAAGGCAAAAATGTGTACCTTGCAAAACATGTGTACCTATCCAAATAAATGTGTACCTGACGGATTCGGAGCGTGCCACGAATGAAGAGGTTTCCATTCGTGAAAACGAGTTCTCCGCAGGGGCTCTGACGAATCCTCGAACCCAGGTGACGAATCAGCATTCGTTTCGTATCCGTACGCGGGGTGCGAAAGGTCCCCATTATGTCCACTAACACCACCAGTTACTAAACAACCAGCTCATGCTATAACATTGCACGACACTGACCGACGGTACGGACGTTCTACAACTAACTGGTTATCAGCTCTAGCACATGAGGGGATGTGCGTGTTTTAGATTACGTGTGACCGATCACTTATTCAAACATAATCCTAATCCGAACCCCATGGAGATGCTGTATGCCTGGAGGGGTGCGGATAATCAGCACTCAACTGTATCAACAACGTACATGTACATGAAGGAAGTGTGGGTAACGCCAGATCGGAGGTCCAACTCTCAGTTTCTCGTTCTCAGGTGACAAAGGCACAATGCCTCCTTCATGGTGCGTGCGTGTGCGTGCGTGTGTGTGCATGTGTGTGTGTGTGTGTGTGTGTGTGTGTGTGTGTGCGCGTGTGTGTGGTGTGTGTGTGTGTGTGTGTGTGTGTGTGTGTGTGTGTGTGTGTGTGTGTGTGTGTGTGTGTGTGTGTGTGTGTGTGTGTGTGTGTGCAATTTCCATGTCGTTTGCCATCGAGCGCCGGGGCAAGCAGAGCCATAGATCTACCCTTTCATATGTGGGGTATAAAAAATACTCCGGAGGTCGCACGACCTGAAAGAACAAATTAACAATGGATGGCCTGGTGCCATTCTTGCTACCATAGTGTGCTGTCTGCAACTATCAGAGTACATGCCGGACTTCAAGCTTGATTTCTCAAACGCCTTACTTTCTACGTTCATGTACCGCTGCTGTAAGTTAGTGACGGCGCTGTAATGTTGAACAAAGCAAACAGGAACATAGGCAAACAGGAATATAGGCAAACAGGAACATAGGCAAACCTGGTGCTTCGCAAACAACACACACGGACAGTGGACGTGAATTCGAGTACACCCAGGCCAGGGCAGCAGCTCCTTACACCCAGGGCAGCAGCAGCTCCTTACACCCAGGGCAGCAGCTCCTTACAACCAGGGCAGCAGCAGCTCCTTACACCCAGGGCAGCAGCTCCTTGCACCCAGGGCAGCAGCAGCTCCTTACACCCAGGGCAGCAGCTCCTTGCACCCAGGGCAGCAGCAGCTCCTTACAACCAGGGCAGTAGCTCCTTACACCCAGGGCAGCAGCTCCTTACACCCAGCACAGCAGCTCCTTATACCCAGGGCAGTAGCTCCTTACACCCAGGGCAGCAGCAGCTCCATACACTCTGTAGGATGCTCATACACCATGCACATCACAATGACACAATGCCACAACTACACGTGTACTAAGACAGCACTGCATAAGACATTTCAATGGAAACTGTGGCAAGCCAAGCTTCCGATATCGCAAAAAAAATCAAATTTCCTGCCTCCAAAAATCGACTGCATTCGTTTTGAATGCTTGATCAAGTAGAGTAGAACAGATTATGGAGAGGGTCAAACAGTAGATGGGTGTCCACGAACAGGTACCCATTTTGGTAATCATCATGGCAAAGTCTGCGATCATCCATCTTTGTAACATTTACAATTTTACAATACGCTGTATGAAATTATTGTGCAAAATAGCTGACATCATCATACGTATGCAGAAACAAACCCGTACCTCAAGCAACTACAGTCAAACATCGTAGGACGAACGTCAAGGGACTGAACAAGTTTGTTTGTCTTATCCGGAGTTCTTCTTATCCAGATCTGACCAAAAAATGATATACATGTCATTAGGCCAAACTAAAGAAGGTGTGTGGTTCGACTAACATGGACATTTTTTTTACGGGCGGGCGGATTTTTTTTTAATATATTTTTTAGTACATGTAAATACACTGTACTGCCTTTACTGGCTTTTAGGGGTGAAACAATTATACCGAATATTCGAATACTCGTTTGGATTTTTCAAATATAATCGTACTCGGAATAAATCAGAGTACTCGCTCATCCATGGTGTGTGCATTTCCCACAGAAGTGTGTAGTTTCAGAGCAGCAGTCAGCTGATATTGATGTGCAGAGTGTGTGGTGAACATTTGTACACGAGTAGAGAGAGCCCAAATGACCAACCAACCAATACACTCGAGAAAGGGACTGCCACTTGGTTCAATCAGGGTCGTAGCATGTCATTTGAAGGCTCTTCGCAAGCGATTTTTTAGGGTATCAAGAATACTCGAATACTCGAATATTCGATCGGAGAAGATCAGAGTACTCAAACTCGGGATCTCAGTGCCAACTTTCACCCCTACTGGCTTTAGACACCCAGTACATCGGCATTATTACGCAGTGTTATGCCATACATGTTGTATAAAGGGATCACTGGCTAATACTTTGAAACATTGTGTAGCTCTGGAACGAGAAGAGAATAACTTCAAGCGGTGACTCTGACTGTCCAAATCATCAAGCAAATGAAGAACGATGCGAGTTGAAAGTAAGTTCGGGAACTACTTCGAAGTACAAATTGTACAATGTACCGGTACATGTATTGCTAGTTTGGTGTCGGCGTGCACGAATACATGGGCTTTTTCCATCGACGCTTCCTGTGCTTGCACACATGGAGCAGCAACTTACCGGTACAGGTGAAAATTGGTTCCCAATACACGAGGAAAGTGCAATCTCACTGCACTGCACTGCAGTACAAGTCAAGTCCAAAAGGAGCCGCCTGCGTCCGCAGACTCACGCTGCACAGCACGTAGACGTGGACGTGTTCAGTCCACGTACGTCAGTCACACGACAGCCCGCCGAAAAAAAGTTACGGTCGGGCTGAAAAATGTACGGTCGGTCGGGTGAGTCGAACCACAGACCTTCTTCAGTGTGGCCTTATGGATTGTATTTATGTGAAGGTGCATCTTGTGGCACATGTAAAGCATTTTATTCATAGCATAAGCCAGCAACAGGTAAGGCCCTCATCAGACTACATACATAGAAAATCCAGTACAAAATCACATAAAACCTAAAAGGCAACATTTTTCCATGCCTGCATTCAGACTACACATTTTACATGCAATACACAGGCAACCTTTGACCCTACGAAATTGCGCAAGGGGCCTGGGATGTGTGAAAGCAGCGGACAGTCGTACCCGGGTACAAAGTTCGTACAACTGCCTGGTGAAAGTACGATAAATGCAGGAAAGTTGCCTTGTACAAGGGTTGGCACCCTGCCTGAAAGGATTGGGCAGCTTTTTAGGCTTCCCGCCAGATTCTTGTTGTTGTCCTGGAAACTTCTATGTAAATGTGACTTATAGGCTGTTTTGTACCTAGTCTGAAGAGGGCCTAAGGACCGTGTGCAATGAATTAATGACATGTCCTCCGCCTTGTACCATGCAGTCATTTCGTTCTGCCCGTGCAAGAGGCCTCGACTATCGGGAAAAAAACTACAGCAAGTGCACGCATGTGGACCGAAAGTTCGTACTACGTGCTGATTTTGTTCAAGTCACGCTTCAATTAGTTCGTCTTCATGAAAGTTCGCCCAACAGAGTTCGTCGTAAACGAATAATTTTGACTTGATATGATGCCTGGCCAACCATAGATTGACCCTAGTTCGTACTAATGGAAAGTTCGCCTTATCAGTGTTCGTCCTAACCAGGTTCGACTGTAATACATCGACCAGCCTCAACCCTGGTAGAACCAGTAGAGGAAAGTAAAAACTACTGTTTGGGGTGGGAAAAAGGAGCGCAACTACCCAAATGTGGAGAAGAGAACACGTACACACACGCACACATGCACACACACACACACACACTCCACGCACCCCTACCGGTGTGGTACACCGAGTGCTGCCATATATGGATGTATCACATCCTATTTATGTGCATGCTGTATCCCATATGTGCTTGCCTGCCATCAAAAAACTGGTCAACGTGGATTCAAAGGCGAAGTATGCACACTAGGATGTGCTGCCCTGGCTTGGAAGTGTTACTACCCAAAACTGGCGCCGTAGGGGAGACAAACTCAGTCCAAAAGGAAACCCACCGCCAAAAGTGACACTTCTGTGCAGGTGTCCAGGCCACAGGTTTTACCCCCTCGAAGCACATCAACACAGACTTGTCTCAGAGCCATTTGTCCCAGTTGGGTAGTTGAAACCCTCGGAGTGAATTGCGGCATCAGTCGCATGTAATGCAGTGGGCTCACTCTGGCCTTTGTGAATAACCAGTCACCTATATGTAGGTTGCACTTACATACATGCATGGTGCATTGCCTGCTGCCGGCCTGGTCTGCTACAGTTTGCTGCGCTCATTGTTACATTGAAGCACATTTGGGACACACATGTGCGCACGCACGCGTGCACACACACACACACACACACACACACACACACACACACACAGCTCACCTTTGGATGCATACAGACATGTCCGTCTTGTTCAGGACTATTTGCTCCACTGTAAAAAGCATGCCACTGGCACGCATCTGCTCCAGTTTCACGCGACCGTCGACTGTTGTCGGCACAATGTCATCCATATCCAGAAATATTTTAGTGTTGGCAGGTGGAGGCTGCACGTCACAATCGCATTACCGGCAGAATAGCGGTCAACACCTCACAACATGTATCTGCACTTGATAAGAAACAACTGGCAAAGCATGGCAAGTGTGTGTGCGTGCATGCGCGCGCGTGTGTGTGTGTGTGTGTGTGCGCGCGCGCGCGTGCACGTGTGTGTGTGTGTGTGTGTGTGTGTGTGTGTGTGTGTGTGTGTGTGTGTGTGTGTGTGTGTGTGTGTGTGTGTGTGTGTGTGTGTGTGTGTGTGTGAGACTTTGTACGTTCTCCGTGCTTCATCAGATACTCTGTCCACGCAGACAATTTACTCGGCATGTCTTTTTGCGTCTGGGTGATGTGTACAAGGTTCATGACTGATTGTACATTTGCATGCTGAGAAACTACTCAGGAATGGTTTTCTCACAGATGCCTTTGCATATGGGGAGGGAGAAACTGGAAATTGGAACTCTAAACGGTGGCATAGTGTTGTACTTGACATGGGCTCACTCGCTCGCACAGTGTTGCACTTGACATGGGCTCACTCGCTCGCACAACAACCTACCTCCGTGCCGATTAGTATCTCGATGAATGGCAGCACATTCGATGACTGCATCCATTCGACGTGCATTCGCCACCCTTGACGGTATAACATTTCATTGACTATCTCCAATGCAGTTCGTCTGCACTTGGCTACTGACGCAGTGAATACAGCCTTCTTCCTTGCACAAGAAATCCTGATCTTTAGGGCTAGTTCCTCATTGATGTTGAGTACAAGTCTGGTTCCGGTGGTGTCGTCTATGTGCAATATACGAGCAGACAATGCTTTACTGGGTTTGGTCGAGACTTCGTGGCGATCAGTGTGTCGGCCTTCAATCATCCCGACTCTCTCCATCACAATCCTAGTCGCTGTGCGCGCAGCAAGCTGTGTTACTATACAGGGAAGGGTGACAATTCAGCGCAGAACCTCCAATTCGGTATTTGCGAAAATATTGTGGACCATTTCACCGAAGCCAAACGCACTGACTACTGATACATGGTGATTGTTCTCTGCTTTGCCCGAAAAGAGGCTTTATCATTCAACGAACTTCGTTATTTTACAGAGCTCTTGATTCTGCATGGAGTACATGGATGCAGAAGAGCGGCTTCATTCACCTGCAACTGAAATCGAACAACATGCCACCCAATATTCACTGTAGTAACTGAAATGATATGCAACAAAAATCAAAAATTCAATTATTATTTTCAATGGATACGGGAGCTTGTGTTCAAGGCCGCCTCGCGTGTAGTGCTCGACTGGCTCGATCGAGTCGAGGGGGTGCCGTGCCGCCCGCCAGGCGATCACCCCGAGATTGTGCACATGATGTGGTGAACAAGTCGCATGTCAAAACGCATTGAAAAATACGAAAATGTCACAGGTTCGTAGCTAGATCTACCACTAGCACTACCAGAGCTTGGAGCGATTCTGAAGCTTGTTCTTTTTCGCCCAAGCTACGGAAGGGCTTCCAGATCCTGGCAACTACCCTGACTCAGCACGAGTGTCGGACATCAAGACTCAAGTGGAACGCTAGTGCTTCTTTCACCTCCATGCGTCCATTTCCATACAAACAAGAGAAGCCTTCGATCGATCGTCTGTTCACCATTGTAGATCTACGTACCAGCGATTCAAAAATTTCTTGGAGACAGCCAACGCGCACGATATGATAATAATGTGTGGGTCATTATTATTGTAGGCTCTAGCCGGGGAAATCCCGCTGAAGCCTGAGTATAATCATGATCAGTGAAGTCATTCAAACTCAAAGGCACATGCGATGATGCTCGTACCATGAGGCATGATGCATATGCGCGATGTACGATCGATGTACGAGCTCACTGCGCAAGGGCAGTCCGTGCGCGATATGCGCCTGAGCTCAGAACAGAGCAGGGAGCAGGTATTTTACTACTCCAGGATCCCTGGGGCATGGTAGATCTACATTGTATATCATGCCATGGTACATGGTATTATCATGATATGCAGAGTATGCATGCAGAGCTGCCAGGTAACTGGTTCAAACATTTTGTTGTTGTTTTCACTGGTACATACATGATCGTTTCACATGCTCGATCAGCCGTGGTGGAATGGTCTTCTTTTCTAACAAAATACAGACTCAGTAGTAGGGTGTGTGTTTGAGTAGGGCGTGGGAGCACGTCTCATATTCCTTTCCAGATCATATTAATTTTTTTCATTTTATTCTCGCCCTTTCAACCTTGCAGCTGCTTGGAAGAAATTAAATTAGTATTTGTGAGTGTTCCCCTTTGAAGAATCAGTTATCTCATTTCACCAATTATGGTATGCTCCTGTGGAAAATATGGCTTGGGATATCTTCCCATTGTTCTCTTAGTGAATACGGGTGGCTGCTTCATCACCACGTGAGTATGTGTGACGCTGAGACGCTGTGTACATGTACAAGTCATGTGTTATAAACTGGTGTTACGTGAATCTCTCCAGTGTACACTATTAGTATTCCCAAGAGTTATGTGCTCCTGCCATTACGCGTACCAGGAAATGTAAGATTTCAGGCAAATGCCACAAGATACATGCGGCACAGATCTAGGCCATCACCAGTTGCGCGTTTACGTTTATACTCCCGTGCACGACATCTTTACGATGTTCACGTGAATGGATTCGTGGGCATGTGGTCATGAACTCACTTCCGGATAAGACGACACCATGTCTTTGAAAAAGACAACATGTACTAGATGAGGCGGCTCGACATTCTCTTTCCTGCTGCAAACACCTGCAACTACTTTCCATTGCGGGAATGAACGTTCACAGGGTGCCGGTTATGTGCAGGCATTTCCATTATCCTTACTCTCGGGACGCCTCGCAAGTGTACCAGGAATGTGGCGGTTCAGGTATGCTCGATGCAAACCAGAATGCTGAATACTTCAGAGCTCGAGCTCGGCAGAGGAATCGGAGACGACATGGTACTGTACAAATATCCGCGAAAACTCGCAAACCACCTTCACTGCTTTGAAGAAGAGGAGAACGATGCGGAACGACGGACTCAATACTGCGCTGAATGCCGGGCAAACGTTGCACCTGTTAGACTCTGTCGTTGTCTGTATTGTAGCCCCATTCAGTCTATAAAGACTATACTACGCACACGGTTTTAGCCAGGGGAGGGTCGGAGGACGCAGCAACGGGCCACCATCCTAAGTGGGATATAGTATCATATACAGTGAAATCTCAGTTCAACATACCGCCAATTGCCATAATAACCGGAATTCTTCCGCAGTGGTACTGTGTATCCGAGGTCATAATATCATATGAGAGAGCTTGGAAGCTCAGGGCCCTACGCTATGCCTTTTTGCCTTGATGACCCTGACAAAAAAAGCACACGGATGTTAAGTTTTTCCTTTTTTTAGACATAACCTGGGATTCGAACCCGCATGCCCTGCATGCATCCCCCGATACATTTCGCATACATACTAATTCTTCCAAGTTGCTTCACGTTATGATCTTGCATTTGAAAGCCCTATTTGAATATGCATTGTGGCCAGCCGTCTTTGATGGCACGGTACGGTACGGGACATGTACGGTCGAGGGTAATACGACACCGTCTACCGCCTTGATGACCTAGGCAAAAAAAGCATAGGGATGTTATAATTTTTTCAATTCTATTTTTTAGGCATAACCTGGGATTCGAACAAGCACTATCGCCCTGCATGCATTCCCCCATACACTTCGCATTCATACTCATTCTTCCAAGTTGCTTCACGTTATGATCTTGCGTTTGAAAGCCCTATTTGAATATTGCGGCCAGCTGTATGTGGCCAGCTGTGTTTGATGGTACGGTACGGTACGGGACAGATACGGGATAGCGCCAGGCGTGACACAAACACACAAACAAACAAACACCAAATTAAAGCTGTGTGGACCCTGGCGCCAGACGTTACTGAAGTAACGTCTTCTGCATAGCTATGGGAATAATATATAATAATATATAATGGTCTTGTATAAAAGCCGCACTTAAATAGAAGCCGCCCTCGAATAGAGGCCGCAATTTTGGGCCCATCAAATCACACATAAGCCTGGTTTTAGTGTTGACATACATAGAAATACCTGTCTTGTATAGAAGCCTGTCTCATATAGAAGCCTGCAAAATTTCACCAAGAAAGTCATAGAAGCCGCGGCTTTTATACAAGACTCTACGGTATGTAGTCTGTTCAGGATTAGTACCTTGCATTCCAGAGTATCCTGTTTTAATCTTCTGCTCAGGCTCTCCTCTCCTGCAGGCCGCTCCTAGCTAACGTTAGAACTCGGAAGCACCTATATTTAGCATGTGGATGTAGAGGATTAGTAAAAATCGGCGAAGTTCAAATGAAGGTTGGAGGTAGAAGGATAATATGTCTGGCACCTTTCTAATTTTTTGAGAAACTGTGACTGAAAGCTGGTATACCAAAGGGGATGGTGGAGCTCCTTGTCGTCACTTGATTGCCATACTGTTTCCGTTTTGCCGAGCGTCGCCGCACCATGTCATAGAAGACGAATGCGCGTATTGTGCATGCTACTGTGATTGATGTGTAGACCGCACACACAATGTCACCATGATGTCATTCGTAAACCTTGAAATGGGTGTTTTCAACAAGAGTACAAGTCATGTACATGTGGGTTAAATGCCCCCCCCTCCCAGAGTCAAAAGGCCACTTTCAAATTGTATTTGTTAAAATAAGACATGAAACTGCAGTATAAGGTACCTCCAGGAGCCGGAACAGTCTATACTTGTACTCAATAGCCCAGTTTCTGTAGCCGAGGTCAAGTACTGTAAGAGTTGAAAAATGTGACGAGTCTAAAGTTTAATGATTTCCAAAATTCCCACTTATCGGGCACAAAGTTTAACGACCCTGCCACCACACACCTGTCTTCTATTTCTCTAGTACAGAGGAGAGAAGGAATAACATAGGTGTAACATTCTTAGAGTTTTATATAATATGTCCCGTTAGAGATTCAACTCTTACAGTAGCTGGTATGGTATAACGCAGGGGCCTCCGACGTAGTACTTTTTTCTCACCCCGCAGTGTGTTTTATCACTCTCTTAGTATTGACTGAATTTGACTCCCATTGATTTTCACCATACCTAAGCAGTCAAATATTCGTGATAAATCTAATATTGACCGCGTGCTCAGTCAATGTTAGATACATATGGCAGCTCCGGCCCTTTGTGTACTGTTCCAGTGCGATATCTTCATACATTAGATCGTATTGATCATTTAGCTCACGGCTATATAATATACCATTGGGTGGGCTTCTCAGAAATGCTGTCTACTTTCTGACTGATCAAGTCCAAAAACCGAAAATGAATCCGGAGCTTTCATATTTAGAAAAAAACTGCGAAAATGTCGTGCAATGTAACTTAGGCGGTGTTTACATGAAGCGTTTCAACCCGGGTTGAGTTCGACCCGGGTCAGATTTCAACCCGCCATGTGCATAAAATGAATTGCGCGTTTACATGACGCATTGCGCTTGACCCGGGTTGAAATTTCGCCCCGGGTTGATTTCAACCCTCCCCCCCCCCCCAAGGGGAGGGTTGAAATCAACCCGGGTCAAGAAAATCGTACGAACGCACTTCTGTGCGTATCTCGCGCCAGGTTTGAACGGCACTGCAGACACAAATTTCGCGCAAACGGATTCACGTGACCATACAGGACTGTAGAAGTGGACTTTTGGCGGCATATCAGTATTTGACCCGGGTCAACTGTCTTCATGTAAACGCTCACCTCTTTTGTCTATCGTACAGACTTTCAACCCGGGCTGAACTCGACCCGGGTTGAAATTTCTCATGTAAACACAGCCTTAGCCCTGCAATCGGAATCGAAAATTCAAGGAGATCATTTTTCCGCCTACTTTTCATGAAAACTGTATGGTTTGTTTTCGCTGAGCGCAGCCCTTGAAAAATGTGGCCTAAAAAAAGTTAAACAACTCAGGACTGGTATGATAAGAATTGGCCGTTGAAATTCTGTTCTTAAGCTGACACTGTGATGCTATTCTGTTTCCTGTTTCCAGGTATTTGATTGCGGCTTACTCCGGTCATGTGTCATTTGAGTTCCCATACATAAGGTATGTGTGGGTGGGTGCATGAATGGGTTGTGAGACAGCACTGCAGTGCCTCGGTGATTTCTCCCGTTTTGTCCTTGTATGTGGCTTGCTGGGTTGCTAACTCTTGATTTAAAAGTTAATATTGTTGCACTGTTTTGACCGCCTCTCTCTCTCTCTCTCTCTCTCTCTCTCTCTCTCTCTCTCTCTCTCTCTCTCTCTCTCTCTCTCTCTCTCTCTCTCTCTCTCTCTCTCTCTCCCTCCCTCTCTCCATGCACGTGTGTATGTGCTGGACCATGCATGGGCTGCTGCAGTGACACGGGCTCAGATCCACCAGAGAGCTGCATATTCACGTTCTTCCTCAGCATCGGTGCATTTCTCGGTATGTATTTCAGATATGCACGTAGGCTGGGCGTCTGTCCCGGTATCAATATCTATGGACCTGGAAACTTACCAGCAGCTTTTTATAATCATGATTGCGGCACCCAGGCTGAATCTTGCTGATGCCTTAAAGGTGGCAAAGAGCCCTGCGCTACCGTAAACCTGTTATGTAATTTGAGGACGCAGAACATGATGGAGGCACAGTCCTTGACGGGCAAGGTAGCTGGTAAACCGTTACATGTGACACACCGTCAGCAAACTATCTGTACTTGTTTGCCTGTCGTGCAAAAATAAATCAAAGGTGCTGGGCACACAAACAATGTATTAGCAGGTGTAGAACGTCAAGAGAAATAATTGTGCCAAATCGTACTTGGAGCATGTGATGTGAGTTTTCGCCGTCGGAGACCATGTATGCAGAGTTGCACACTCTTTGGGAGCTTATTTACTCTTGCTGATGTACATGTATGTAGTACATGTGGAATAGAATGTTACAATGCTGGCTAGTAAAACTTTGCCTTCATGAATACTGTACCAAGCGTCATGTGTGTCAAGTGTGTGAGTATTCATAGTGCCAGGATCATGCAGTGCCCCCTGCTGTTTTGCTGATGAGGGTGGATTGCTTTGGTCAGCGTCATCAAAGTTGCTCGGGTTAGAATGTCTTACAGGCGTAAATCGTTGAATTTGGCACTGGGTCTCTCCTACTTCTGTTGATGCAGCCGCGGCTATTATATTCATACGCTATCGGCACGTAGCAGACTATAACCGTGAAGATGTAAACAAAGTGTTGAGGATCAACAAAGCTGCCTTTTACATTGGCATGGTGTCTCCTTTGGGCATGCTGCTTGTGGCAAGCTTCCAGGTAAGATGTGCATACCACGCGCTGGCAGGTTCTATATTGGTTATTTTAATTTTGTGTGAGGGGTGGGGGAGTTCTATTGGACACTCTTTGCTCTGTAAATCATTTAAAAACAGACATACTTGGCATAGAAAACGTTGTTCAGTCTGAGTGAGGTGAATTTGGCAATGCGCGTGTTGCCGATTCCGTGCTTCAGGTGACTTTAGTGTAGAGTGTGTTTGCCGTGAGGGAATGGCGTCGTGTCAGGTTGGGCGATGCCAAGAGCACGTAACCCAGTCCATGGGTGCTGTACACTTTTTGTGCTGCATGTGCTGTCGCGGACATTGAACTCCATTGAGAAGTCAAGCGGCCACTGGGGCATTGGCCTTGGAGCCGCGAGCACTGCTGGTCCATTGTGTACAGTGTGTGCGTGAACTACAGTGCGTGTACGCGCTAAAAGCAGTAAGGGCGCCGGCCCCGGTCATCCCATCGGATTTCAATGTCCACGGACCGCGACAGTATGTTGCTTTAGCGAGTAACCCAGTACCCATGGCAGGACATACAGTTACCGTGTGCTTTTGCATTGCTGCTAGCAGTAGTCATCGATGGTTTGCGGTATCCTTGGCGTGTGCGCTGGCGTTTGGAGAGCCTGTGGCTTCATACCCTGGACGCTTGGCCTATGTATTTCTTGCGCCTGAGGTTTAGTACATGTAATCGCAAACTACATGTACTCGTGGTGTGATAGCCTCATCTCAAGATGCACTGCTATTTACCGGTAACAAAAATGCCTCGATTTCTAAATTCCTCAACTCAACTGTTTCGATTCTCATTTGCTTGTTTTCTGATCCAGAATGTAAACGTCCTATCAGTGCATATCCTGGGTGCAGGCGGTGCCTTTTTCGGTGGCTGCATCTACGCATGGTTGCAGACACTGATCACGTACAGGATGCACACCAGCACGTCGCTCATGCTGGATGCACGCTTCCTGCTGAGTCTCTTCTCTTCGGTGTCTTTGATCATCGGTATCCTCACTCTGCAATGTTGTGTGCACTCCAGTACCAGAGTTGATACACTATAGTGTACAGTGTACCTAAGATCACCGATTACATTTTGTACATGTTTGTGTCGAGACAAAAAAGAACCAAAAACAAACAAAAAAACAGTCTTTGCAAAGAAAAGAATTGATTTTAGTCTCTCAAACATCTGGCCCGTACATCTACGTGTAGTGTCTGGCAGTTTCTTGTGTTGGCAATGCCATTCCATTACCTTCGCATGCTTCCTCTCACCCACGCAGTGCTCGCATGCTGGAGTCAGCTGGCCCACTGCATTGATACATAATATTCTAAATGAGAGCTTCCTTAGCTATGGTGTGGCTTGGTGCACAGCGGCAACCTATGCTGAGATTGCGCTGCTGGAACTGCATGGAAAGTTCAACTCCAATGAGGCACTGCACTGGAATACGAAGAATGGGGTAAGTGCATCAATTTGTTTGTAGTGCAGGTCATCAGTTTTTTTCTTTTCTATGTACAATCCAGTGCATGAAGAAGACATAAACAACTGTGCATTCAGAATAGTACATCCCGTCATTGCAATCCGTCCCTTATGTTGTTTGACATTAGTCAAATAAATACATGTACTGCCGGTCAAAACTGATGTCCGGCATGCAGATCATAGCGATGCAGCGCAAGACTGCAGTCACCCATCCTTGAATTTATCGAATGTGATATAGCGGTATTAAATTGCCGCTTTTTCCATACTCATGCGGAGCTGTCAAGGTTTACAATGTAGTAACTGGTATGTACTCTTCACTGCATTCTTAGTCTTATTGGTGATCACCTTCCCCAGTTTGTTGTCACTTTTCTGTCCTATGAACTCTGGAGGGCAGGGGAGGGGGGGGGGGGGGATGTAGAAAGAACGTTTGCAATTACGCTTGTGGTTCATGATGCGGTGAGCGTGTGTAGTCATTTAGACTTTTTTTCTTTAAAAACTACTGCGGCTGACTCAGTCAGCACAGCAGTCTTTGTTGCCAGTGGCTAGTGACTCTGAAAATAAGATGAAGATGTGTAACTGTATTCTGATTCATGTCAGCACAGCAGCCTTTGTTGCCACTGGCTGGTGACTGAAAATAAGATGAAGATACAGTCAGACCTCGCTTATCCGGTCCTCCTTTATCCGGATCCCTCGCCATCCGGAAGAAAATAGCTGGTTACGGATTTACAACATACGCATTGCATCCAACATAACCGGTGTTCGGTTATCCGGTTCCCTCGCCTATCCGGATATTTTTGTGGAAAACGGATGTGTGCGGTTATGCGAGGTCTGACTGTACTCTAATTTCAGAAATATTCGGTGCTCAATATTTTCGGTATGAGGGCAAAAGGCCAGGTTAGGTGAACAGAAATTTTAGGTACAGAGAAGCAGTTCCCTATTGGATTATGCGTGTTAGTGTTTGTTTGGTGTATTGAAATTTTAGGCACAAAACAGATGCACCGAAAGTACCAAAAATTTGTGAAATTACAGTATGCGACTGTGCTCTGGTTGAGCCACTCATCCGATTACTCTTTTGAAACTTGAAGTTCTGAGCTGTGTCATTTTTGCGCCGCTATCGTGTTTCCTGTGTTGATTGCGCAACACCTGCAGGGTTTCAGGTCACATATAGCTAGTACCATTGGTGAATGGTGTACGGGCCTGGCTTTCCTGCTGTTCTTCCTGACGTACGTCAAGGACTTCTCTCGCTTGACACTCGACGTTCAGCTACGACTTCACCTGGAGGATCCCCTATTGCTGTCCAGCGACGCTCATTTGCGTGACAGCACATCTCCGACTTTGAACAACCCCGATGAGCATGAGCCTCTGCTACACAACAGTACTTCAAGTGGTCGTAACTCGGCAAACTATTTGTCAAACCATAAATCGAACTATATTTAATTCCTGGCAATATCATTACTTTTCACACAAAATATCTGCTTGAGACGAATCCCATACTTGCTGGCTATTCTGCATCATAGAATTGCTTTGCATCCTACTTCATTCCACGTGTTTAGAACTTTTTTTACCGCATGTGTTTCTTCATGATATTTTTCACACAAAACCTTTCTCGAACTTGATGGTTGTAGTCATTTCCAAAAAGATATGGTTTTTACTTTTTAGGGGTTTTGTATTTAGCCATAGACCTATAAGACCTAAATATAGTTGGTGCTAATCTTTTTCAATATACGATTCCTCCAACATCTTAAAGTATTCGCATTCAACATATTCGATAATTGCAATCAAAAGGGCTGGCTGATTCCTCCAGTTATTTGCTTCTTTCAAGGCTTCTTCTATCGACACAGACAGTGCATTTCCAAATTCGTTCCTACTGACAAACATTGCTTTGAAATCAGCTATGCTGATGCTTCCTTCCCTTTGCCTTCGGGTTTCTTCTGAAGTACAAGTAGAAGTACCATGTTTTGCAGAAACGTTAATGAGTGTTTTTTTTTACCGGGAGTCGTAGGGATATTGTTTCCAGTGCTGCCAAACCGTCCGATTTTTGAAGGCTCTTCCCAAACCCGGTCCGAAAAAGCAGCCAGCCCCCTATCATGCAGTATTCTGTTCTCGAGGTTCGTGGTTTCTCGTAAAAAATAAATAAACCGTCAGGTGTCAGTACTTTCCTATGCAAAAGTCCTGCATTTTCACTTTTTGAGCAGGGAGCCCTACACATACCCATACGTATGTGTAGGGCTCCCTGCTTTTGAGAGCAACTTAACTGAACATGAGCAGAATAGAAGTTTTATAGAACCCAGGGATGTCCAAGTTGCAACAGGACATCAGACAAGCACTGTTTGTAAGTTACACCAGAGGGTCGTAAAATAAATAAGTTGAATAACATACAACCAGGGAGTCATATTATTAGGGAGGTTTAGTCCCACGTAATCCGTGGGTACTTTACCGTATTACGTGTGTGTACCACGTGATACTCAGTGACCCACGTACAGACGTTTTCTGATTCACGACATAATATACCGTGTATGGAGGCTCACCCACGTTCCGCCAGAACGTGGGTGAAAATCAGAATGGAGCGCATTGTGCGACCTGTGAGGGTGCTCAGCTGAAGAAGTTTCCGAAGCACGAAATCAAAATATTCAATGAGCTTCTAAGCTTCGTTTTTGACCAGGTTTGTGCCTTTCGCTTCATGCTTTTGTTTGTTCCGTGTGACTAAACACAACATTGCAAACGTGGGTCCATTGCAGGAACTTTATGTGTATCACCCACGTTCCCGTATCCGTTACGTGGGACTAAACCTCCCAGAAAAATAAGAACGTCCCAGGCTAACCCCTTGGAAACAACGTTCTTGGGCGCGCGACTACTGTATTATAAAAGTATGTTACAACTCCCTTGCTGGAGTCTGCAAGTCTGGAATACTGGCTCAGCAAGTCACTTAGTCACATGCGTTGTCACTTTTGCATGAATGGGATAATACCGGTACTAGTATTCAGGTTTCTAAAATGACGCTGGTGTTACAATGTGTATGAAGGGTGATCAAGTGCATGCTGCCCTACAATTGTAGGCTGACTGTACGCAAGAGTATGCCATGTTAGATTCTTGCTGCACAAGTAAAACAAAATACTAGTAGTAGTACTGAAAAACATAAATTTAAAATTGTTTTCATACTCAGATTGATTCGATGACGCTCGCGCGCAACCCGCAATGACATCATTGGTCATTGCCATTGGTTGCCTTGCTTCTCCAAATCCCAGCAGCGGTAAAGGAGTCAGGATTCAACACTCTACTGTATTGTATAAAGCAGTGGATTAGGTCGTGCCAGGACTGCAATACTCTCAGTCTCTGGTGTGTAAGTAATTAGTTTGTAAACCAAAGTACATGTACAAAAAAATTAATACTAAAAAAGTCTTTGATCGAGAGGAGGACGGTCCCGGACCTAGACTGGGAGGTCGAGGGGGCGCTAGCGCTGGAGACTGAAATGGAAATGGAATGGATTACCACAAATGACAAAAAAGGAAAAAAATGCATTGGCCGGGAATCGAACCCGGGCCCCCCGCGTGGCAGGCGAGGATTCTACCACTGAACCACCAATGCTTGGATAACAAACCAATCACGTGTTCTTTATATGAAACGATTTCGGCTCCCTCACTCCTCAGCACGCCGATGATCCTTGTTATGTCAACCGTCCTTGACCGAGGAGAGCGCTATGTAACAGTATCACGAGCTAGCTGCTGTGGCCTGCATACTCTCTGCACGCGTAGACCTACCACCTGGCCAGCTACAAAATGTACTACATAATTAGCTGGTACTGCCTGGTGATGACATGGTATCATGGTTATCAAGGCAACGTTGTTCTGGGAAGCCTTGTTTTCTGTAGGGCTGTTCGAGTACATGCCAGTTGTCACCCAACGAGTTGTGGCAAATGCCAAGCCTTCCAGTTCCAATGCTGCAGAGTGCAGTGCAGGCAGCAGCAGACCAACACAGGCAACAGACTCAGTCGACAGACTCAGTCAGTCAACACAGCAACATGCCAGGGATCACGATCGTGGTGACCAGTGGCAGTTCGCCAGCCCCAGGTCCAGGACGGCCAGGCGATCGCGACTGATCACCATGATCACTACTATCATCATTCCCAGCCATGATCACTTGTCTTGATCAGTGTCTACCGCCAAGCTCGTCTGCATGTGCGGTCTTGACTCTTGCCGATTCTAAAAAAGTCACGGACTGTTGTGCTGCGCCTATTCCACCATTGAAAAGGCGATTGGGAAGAAAACAGACGTCGTTGGACGGTCTCTTTTGACCCAGCTCCGCAGGTGGTGTGTTGTTCATCTTCGCCCATTCAATTAATTCTATTGTGTGTCCACCGCGCATCAACTCTCTTGACTCTTGTGGAGTACGAGTTCTACGTAGTTCTATCTGTAGGGGTGACGTCTTTAGAAGGATACCGTTGAGCTCAGTGTTATGGTGTTAGTTCTATTCTCCAAGTAACTGGTTCTGTTCCTCCTACATTTGTATCTGTGCCAATATGGTATGTAGTACATACTTCTAAAATTGCTCACCTGCAATCATGACTTCTAGTACTAGTGTTGTGTTCAACACCTGCTGGGAATTTTAGTAGATCTACCAGGACACTACTAGCGTCGGCATTTGTACGTGAGCACTCCTGGAACTGCCGGAGCAAAACATTCATAGAAAGATCTGCCCTTTTCACTGGCTGCTACTGACTCGGAAAGTGACTGTGTTTAGGATCGCCGCCCATCATCAGTGTTGGTTTTGCCTGGATGCTGAAAGATGACTAGAATCGGATTGTAATTCTAATTTGCGTACGTGTTTGTCAACGCTATAGCTGCCCAGCCCGCCAGTGGCCAGGCTTTAGCTGAGTGCCGGCAATAGGAAGAGCAGCTCATGTATTCAGACATCGGTGGTACAGTAGCAGCAGCAGCATACAGACCACCTTTGCGAGCTGAGTCGGACTGGACTGGTATGATGGCCACGTCCAGCTCTACCGCCGCTACCGACGTGATATCGAAAAGTAAGAGCCATGCTCGCCCCGGTGTGCTGTTGAGTGTTGTTGAATGTTGCTGTTGTTGTTCCTGTTTTTTTTTATTGATATCATTCTTTTACGTTACATGCACAGATTTAATGTGACGTAGCCATGTTGGGTAGTCGGATTGCTATAAATCCTGATATGAGGCTGAGGCATCGTGCACTATCAGGACCGGCGTATGCAGTTTTTTGATTGGTCCGGCCATACCCTAGCCTTTCATACTTTTTGTATATGCTGTGGACGGTAGACACATGACCTCCTCAGCAGTAAACACACGTTGGCGGTCAAAAAGTTGGTGCGGCCATGGCCTGACCAACCGGACGGGTTCTGCCGGGCCTGACTACGTGAATGGTGACAGTCGAACACAGGCAGTGGACTAGTAGTGTGTCACTACATTCAGCAACATCATAGCACTTTAGAATAGCGCAACATGATCCTAGCAACGCACTCACGTCCGTGTAGCTCCACTCAAGTCACGCGCCACGATAACACTGCCATGCTAATGTTGTCGGTGCAAGTAACTCATGTTCTGGGCAACGTGCAAAGCTGCTGTTTATTTCATCCATACCTTGTATATGTACATGACATAGCTGTAGCTTGCAGGTGCATGCCAGGTTTCACTTGGTTAAACTCACCGAAACTATGTAGCGGAATTGTGCCATTCGTGATCTATGATTCCTGTCGGTCAGACTGGATAGCGGTCTTGACAGTTGACGCTGTGACGTATTGGCATCAGGGATGGTGCCGGTGGAAAGTGCCAGGTGTATCTTTACAATGCAGTGTTTCATTTCTCACTGTGTCTCACGAATCGTTCCGACGGGCTTGGTATTGTGGCTCATGGAGTCACAGAGCTAACCATGGTGGATCCTGTTGAGCCATGTCCTGCGGAACGTGTGTCACTTACATGTACATGTTAGGCGCGTAGCAGCGGCGTTGGAGGTGGTCCGGCTGGAGGGGGTCCCGGGGATGTCCCCCGCAGGAAATGTTTGAAATTAGGGTGCAAAATCCTGCATTCTGGGCGCTTCTGTGCGAAAATTGGTCCAGCCAGACCGGCTGCTACACCCCTGCGTGTACTACCATGCAATACGCAGCTCGTAGTGTGGAGGTTTTGCGTGCTTACGCCATTCTCATACGCTTAGCGTGGAGTGGGAAAACTGTGATATCACACGTGCTGGTTCATTCCATACATCATGTCGTTTGTGCATATCCGATGATGTCCTTTGTGCCTATCTGATAGTGTCATTTGTGCATACTAGTATGTGATGATGTCATTTGCATAACCTCTATACTAGTGACGTTAGTTGTAGAAAGTCTAATCCCGGCACGTGTTGGCTGCAGTTTGTACTCTTGGTGCAATGTCACAAACAGACCATTGACGATCTGAGTCAGCTTTTGAAACGTGGTGCTTCCGTAAGCCAATGTGCACCACTCCAACGAAATGGTAATTTGAAAATGGTGGTTCCATGGAGCAATGCAGCCCTGAATACACATTGAAAGAGATACAGTCGTCCCTCTCTAATCCGGCACCTTTTTCAACGGCATTTTCTGCTGGATAAACGAGGGTGCTGGATTATCAAATCCTACACTCCAACTCGGCCCACATATGAACATACATGTTTGTGTCGTACGTCAAAACGGAGCGATTTTCTGTGTCAATCCAAGTACTTTGTGGAATGCATGTCTTAAACATACACTTGCCGGGAATGTCCTATGCACTGGCATAGGATATTCCCAAGTGTATGGTACATGTGTTGTGCATGTTACAATGGTCCCTGACAGTATGCGATGTACAACTGCTGGATTAGAAAATCGAATTATGTACAGTTTGAGTGATTTGTTACAGAAAATCGCTGCTGGAGGCGGAATTCGAGTGCCGGATTAAAGCGTAGAAAATGAACTGAAAAAATCCGTTTTGCCAGAAAGTGTGCTGGTTTGCAAGGGTACTGGATAAACAAGTGCCGGATTAGAGAGGGACGACTGTATGCTTAACATGACCATTTCTACTCCGCTGTGTTTCAGATTACCTGGTGGTTGGCAAGAAAGGAGAGGGAACCTTTTCAGTCGTCTACCAGTGCCAATCTTACCGGGATAAGAAGATGTATGCAGTCAAGCGCATGAAGCAGCAGTTCCACTCGTACGTATTGCACACTGATCATGCTTGATCCTATCATGCCGCACGCTGGCACCGATAGGGCCCATGCTGATCCTAGAATCTGCGTGTGTATGGGCTAACATTGTATACCACCCCAACCCGCATTCCCCCCCCCCCCCCCATGCATCTACAGTAAAACTTCCCAGATTCGGACGTCCAGTGGTGGTAGCAAATTGAAACCAGACCTCATGAATGTAACAGAGCTGCGTCCACTGCTCAGCCCAGTGTTTGTAGTGCTAGGCGCCGCGCTCTCCCAGCTGCCAGACCTGGAGCCAGCTCATAAGGGGTGGGACGGCACCAGGTCGGCTACAGAGCCGATCATTTCCCCATGTCTAAATAATTCAGTGGCATGGGAGAAAACATGCTGCATCATATCTGGTTGTTTCAGCTGCTCGTTCCTCTAGCAACAAAATAAATATACAGCTAGCACAGTAGTCCTCACTGGACAAGAAGAGCAGTTTAGGAGGAAAGATTCTAACGAGAACAGCTCGTTGATGCTTTCACATTATAATGATACACTGGACATTACATGAAAGCTGGACTTTGGTAAAGTCTGGTGTGTCCATGGCCATACCGGCTGTACCAATGGTGCCGGCCCTGGATGCCGGGGCTTTTCTCACCTGTCATCTGTCTTATCACGGTGGATGGTATTTTGACGTGACTACGTTCAGGCATGCAGCAATCAGGGTACGCACCATGAGAGAGTAATGCTTCTCAGATGCTTGGACTAAGGGTATATTTTAGAACACACCTCAAGGCTAATGTTAACACCTTTAATACCTGTGGGCTATTCCTAGTTGTACCAGGATGGGAATCACTCACAATTATCATGCTTTCACCTGGAGCACATACATTCCATGCTACGGACGCTGCAACAGCAGCCGCAAGGACACTGAGGCACGGATTGATCATGGGCGTTAAGTAGTCTGGTGTCACGGTTGATGTAAATAAACACCAACCAAATTTTACGCCAAAAACAAACAACTAGTCTTAGGAACTGAAAGGTAGACTGAGCCGGAAGAATTTGAAAGTTTTCTTTTTGTTGTGTAATGTGCTTGTAGTTGGGACCAAATAGAGAAACTGCAGGAAGTCAAGTGCCTCAAGCTATTAAATCCACACCCGAACATCATCACGCTGAGGGAGATATTGTTGTAAGTCACCAGTATTCTCTGCTGCATTGAATACTTACAATGTAAGTATGTCCATGCCTTTTGCATGGTATCGATAGCTGTATGGTAGTGGTTCATCTACCATTCTTAGCAGTCACGGATAGTGGAGGATAACCAGGGAGCTGTACAATCATACTTCAGGGATGTGCTGGCTGTTGCCAATATTTCAGCTGGCATCATGCACCTTGTTTAGAGAAGTATTGCACCAAGAGACCACCCGGCTTCAAATTACTGGATCACTACGACCAGTATCTTACTTGCCCTTCCAAGGGTACTAGTAGGTATCAAATCATGTTTCTATGGTAACACATATTGACAGATTTGACACCCGTCCGTAAGTATTCAGTGTCCTTTACAGTATACCCTGGGCTGGTTACTACAAACGCAGGTTTAGCAATAGCGGCTAATGGAGACCGTCCGCAGGACAGTGGGCAAGTGTGTATGCATGGTTACTAATACTACAGTGTACAACTTAAAACATGCCTTGTGCCAGGGATCATTTCGCTGGACTAACAGTTTGCATACTAGTATACACGTACCGTATCCATTCATGTACAACACCGTACCATTCTGACGCTAGCATAATACCGATTGATCGGGCACGGTTTCTCCAATCGGATCCTTTTCGACTATGATTGCAGTGATCCCTTAGAAGGCACGCTGGCGCTGTCATGTGAGCTGATGGATCTCAATCTCTACGAGCTCATCAAAGGTCAGTGGTATCTATCATTCTCCCATGCTGAACACTGAGCAGGCAAAGCATAGTAAAGCATAATTCAATAAGTAGTGTGACCTCGAGGCCATGGCTGTACCATGTAGGTTTAAACACCATAAGAGCAGCCGATTGCAGACTGTGTTATAATGGTGGTGGTGTTGCCGGGTCCGAATTGGTGCCATTAAACTGGCTGTCATGGGCTGATAAAGCCGCCCCTGCACTTGGATTCGATGGAGCTCCGAACATTGACAGTGGTGTTTATCCAGTACAAGCACCAATCTCCAACACCAGAGTTCTTCGCTAGTCTGAGCATTGCAATGCCCAACACGAAACATTCACTGTACTGTGACATACTTCCTGCCGAGACGATGTCCACATTATGTACTGGCACACTTAATTGTCCCTGTTGGTGGCCGCGATTTCCGTGCATAGATCGGACGGAATTCCTGAGTGAGGATGCTGCCAAGGGTTACATCTTCCAGCTACTGAAGGCGCTTGGTCACATGCACTCGTGAGTTTTCCGCTGTGCAGTGCAGACATGCTTAGGTCTACTAGTCTCTGGTCAAGAATAGTCCGGCTCATTCAGCCTGCCTTCGCCTTTTGCATGTTGTTCCTTGTGCATGCAAAGCGTGTACGTTCAAGTCACTTGTAAATGTTATTTCAGAATATGCCGGCATGTCACGCTGACACATGGTTGTGTTGTATTCTTCATCCTATAACAGGAAGGGGATGTTCCATCGAGATATAAAGCCGGAAAACATTCTGATCCGGGTAAGTTACGTTGTTCTCCGTATAATCATGCTGTTGACAAATCTACTTGTTGGACTCAGTAGACAGTCAGGTCACTATAGTCAGTCGGGTCACTATAGTCAGTCGGGAGTCCAGCATGCAGTATAAATGCTGTAAACAGGCGGATGGTGTACCCCTAGGCATCTATAAGCAGTCGGATTCCCAGTATGCAGTCAAACACCTACAAAGTACATACACCACTGAATAATGAGATTTAAAGTATCAATCCCGAAAAGATTGTATGGATTTGAAAGGGGGCATGTCCACAGCTTCAAGTAACTAGCGGTAATGGTTACTGTTCAAGGGGGCAACTGATTGCTAGTATGTACAGTCCTACCACTATACAAACATGTAGCTTGACGTATTTGTACCAAAGGTCTATCGCCACGTGAGGTTTTCTTTCCTTGCCAACTTGGCAAGGGCTGGCTGGATCATGAGTTTGACTCCCTACTGGACTTCCGACTGTTTATTGGACACTAACTGCCTACCGAGTCCAACATATATTCTATTGTGATGTGTATATCCAGTTCGAAGGATGTGTGTGGTAAAGGTCCAGCACGTCAAGCATCCGCCAGCCACATAATTTGGTACTTGCTGCATGCATAAGTTGCTTACCAGCCATATCTCCAGTAACTTATTTATTAGTTTCAGTCTTCCTTCGGTTGTTTCCTGCAAGCCGGTTTGCAAAGGCAGCAAGCAATGCACGTGTGTGTGCGTTTAGTCTAGTTCATGCACTGTAGGAAACCACACAATCTTATCTACCAGTATTGGCAGTGAATGATCTAGACCCATATACTAAACAGGTGTGTGTGTGCGTGTGTGTGTGTGCATGTTGTGCACGTGTGTCCCGGTTTGTGCGTTCTTAGCTGAGTGACAATCTGGTGAAGCTGGCAGATTTCGGCTCCTCTCGGAGGGCGGGTGACAAGCTGCCCTTCACGGAGTACATTTCCACTCGCTGGTACGTAGCACACAGCGCAGTCGCACACAGCTAGCGTACGCACTACTCAGTAGGCGACCACCGGTGCAACGTACCCGGGCCGCAATGGATTGCTTTGAGCACTTTCAGTATAATATGCTTGCATTCCAGTACAAAGTCACTGGCGTGCATGTACAGCGCTGGCAACTGAAATCCGACCCCTGAGCGGTGCGCTCACATCGCAAAGACCCAACACGGGATGGTAAAACTACGAAACAGAGACCGCTAGAATGTGAACCCACCGCTCAGGGGGTCGGATTTCAGTTGCCAGCACTGTAGCTTCAGATCCTTGATTCTCATCTAGCTTCAGCATGCATCTACAATGCTACAAGTACTGCCTCCAGTCGCTCAGCATAATTTTTATTACCAATCTTTTTGCCAATGTGTTGTGTGGTTGGTGGCTCAATGCCCTTAGCTAAAGTTATCTGTGGTTTTTATTGCATTTCACATGTTTGCAGGTACAGAGCTCCAGAATGCCTGCTAACCGACGGTTACTATGGTACCGCAATGGACGTATGGAGTGCCGGCTGTGTGTTCTTTGAGATTTTGCGGTAAGATAGTGGTGGTGTAGGGGGGGGGGGGGATAATATGTCACTGCTTGATGAAGAGAAGTAACGTAGGCATGATGCCAGGAATGATTCCAATCTATGTTACTATTGATGGTCATACAGGACAGGCGGAAGCAGCTTTTGATTGGTCTGGCCATACCCTAGCCTGTCATACAGTTTGTGTATGATATGGAGGGTAGTCACATGACTTTCATACAGTTTGTGTATGACATGGAGGGTATACACTCAGTGACCTCCCGAGCAGTAAACACACATTGATGGCCAAAACGTCGGTCCGGCCATGGCCTGACCAATCGGACCGGTTCCGCCGGGCCTGTCATAGTAATGCACTGTGTTGACACTGTATTCAATTGCGGCATGTACCGTTCAGACTGCTGCTGCGGCACCGCCTGCTGTCAATTCCATTATCCAGCTCAAGTGCTCGAACGTCGTCGTTCTGTCATTCTGCTTGCTCGCTAATGGAGCGGGCAAGTTTCATCAATTTGTGCGCTACAAGTGCTCTTACTCTATCACCGTATTGTCTTCCAGTCACCCCGGCACTCTATGTAGCGTACAGCCTCTGTCTTATGCTATCCTGACTGTCTGTATTGCCTTCCACCCTACTATGTATGTAGCTTACAGCCTCTGTTCCCTGGCAAGAGTGAAATCGATCAAATCAATCACATCCACCAAGTCCTGGGCACGCCGGACAAGAAGACGCTGAAAAAGTTTACCCAGTGAGTTTTGGCATGCAGGCTATCCTACCTGAATGGCATAGTATATATGCAACTTAGGTTAAGTACTCTCTGCGCACAAAGTGCACAATGGAAGAGCAGAGCTTCCACAATCAAAATTTTTGTTCCACCTTAATACGTTGATGTTTAGCGAGTTGACCTTCTCCACCCTATACACATCAGCTATGGTTGCAGGGAACTCTACACCGTCAAAGTTGAGACTCTGCACATACTGTACGTCGTACTTGGTCACACGATCTGCATGTTCCACAGCAGGATGTAGGGCAGACAGAAGAGCCCACTTCAGGCACTGCTCGTCGTCATTCTTCACATTGATGATGGCCTTTGACGAGGCTAACTTTTTAGGTAGAGGAAGGTACGACGACATGCGCATTGGACGATATTTGCAAATATCAAGATGAGCGGTTTTCACCATACTCACAGTCCAGCCTGAACCACCTTGCACCCAAGCGTCCAGCTTTGCAGTGATCTGGTCGAAGGCGGCGGTTAGTAGATCTTGTAGTTTTTTTGCAAACGCCTGCATGTCAACCAGATCTGCACTCCATAATGTCATCCAACTCGTGCACTATCACACGTCTGCGGGGGAAGCGTACGGCGACACTTCTTCACACAAGAGAATGAGCATTGCAACCAACACGATGATCATACTAATGTTGATACTGGAAGGTGTCTGCTGCAAATCGGGCATTTGCAAGCATTCCATGGAAACGCCACAACCTGAATTCCAGGCTGTGTATGTTCTCCTGCCTGATATTGCCTGTCTTGCTGTACAATTGTGCGCTTTGGACCTTATCGCGAACATTAACCGACGTCGTCAATGTATGGCGCCGGAAGAAACTACGTACCATCATTGGTATCACGTACCCACAACGAATCTCGAACACAGCGCTGTATGCCAGAACCGAGCAGACCCCACTATCCCAAGTCTGCAGGCAACGGAGACTGCTGTGGTTCGGCCATGTAGTGAGGGAAGGCGAAGAATCGTCCTCTTTCCAAGCCCTCCTAATGTCAATCAACACAACAGACATACGACGACCCCGAGGACGACCACGTCTGAGATGGATCGACGTTGTCAAGAAAGACTTACAATGCATTAATCTGTCGCTTCTGGATGCTGTGCAATCTGCTTCTGATAGAGCTGCTTGGCTCGAAATTGTTAACAGATGCGTTGACCTCATGCAATGAGTGATATGCGAACTGTCATTATTATTATTTCAAATGGTGAACGGTACTATTCGGCCAATAAAATGTAAAGAACTCTTCCTCTCCTCCATGCGCTCTCACAGCCGACTCACTGCTACCCTCAGTAGCCATTACACACACCAACCAAGGAAGGGTTGCAGATAGATACTGAAATTCCTCCTGACAGCTGTTTCGCCTTCATAAGGCTCATCAGAGAAGGTGATATTGAATAGGATGATATCAGGTGGAGATGGTCAGATTTATACTACAAAACATGGGCGCAAGATTACGGGCAAAGTGTGAGAATGAGAAGCTACAATTCTCCAGCAACACAGTGCCAGGGGTTCCAAGAAAATGGCAGGTGAGTAATCCAATCACAAGCTGCTAACCTCTCCAGCAACACAGTGCCAGGGGTTCCAAGAAAATGGCAGGTGAGAAATCCAATCACAAGCTGCTAACATTAATTTTTAGCGACCGATTTTCCGTGCACCGACGGTTTCACATACAAACTGATCTGTCCAGAGCGACCATCTGCAGTGCGCGACCAGCGACCGCGATTTCATGCACGGTGGCTGCATTCAAATCTGCTGTAAGCGACCGCGACCCAGGTTCAGTAAGGTGCGAAACTGTACTTGCCAGTGCGCTGTCAACTGTCAACTGCAAAATGCGCTGTCTTGCAAGTGCGATCGACTGGCACCTGGCCTGTACTGAGGCTGTGCTGTAGCTCTCAAGGCAGTGTCGATCTACTGCCGTGTCGCATACGCGTAATACGGGTATGGTCGTCGTTGAATATCCAATAAAATGATATAAAAAATCACATTATTCTCGTCGATTTGAGTACATGGAAGCATATACCTGGTATGCCGGATTTACCATACATCTGCCGTAAGAGACCATCTGCCGTAAGCGACCGCTTTTTCTTGCACCAAGGGGCGGTCGCTTACGACAGATTTGACTGTAGTAGCATATACATGGACATTTAATACGATGAAACGTATTGTCAGGCGCGTGGCCGGCAGTGTTTCCAGGTTGCCCGGAAACCCCCTCCTGGGTTGCAGTGCAGACGCCAAAACCTTTGAAAACTACCGCAAAACTCTCCTGAGTGCATGCATATGCAGTCACCGGAAGTACAAAGTGACAGTGCGGTGCATGCTGTACGCATGCACTTGAGTGAGGTGTGAAACTATGTTATTCCCGTAGCTATGCAGAAGACGTTACTTCAGTAACGTCTGGCGCTAGCCAGGGTCCACACAGCTTTAATTTGGTGTTTGCTTGTTTGTTTGTTTGTTTGCCACGGTTTGTTTGTGTCACGCCTGGAGCTATCCCGTATCTGTTCCGTACCATACCGTACCATCAAACACTGCTGGCCAAAAACAGCTGGCCACAATATTTGCTGGCTCCCGTATCTGTCCCGTACCTTGCCGTACCGTACCATCAAACACAGCTGGCAACAATATTCGTCGTATTATATATACGACTCCCTGAGGTATAGGGAGATTTGGAAAGAAATAGGGAGACGAGGAGGATATGAAATTAGAATGGACGTTAGTTGCCGAATAGGTGATAGGATGCGGCAGCAAAAACATACTTTGGAAGAGAGATCCCGTCGTCTCCAAAATATGCGTTAATGGGCGATTCAGCGCCGGTCACAGGAAACGTTGGAAAAGAGATCCCGTCGACTCCAGAACGCCCGTGATCGGCAGAGTCAGCGCCGTTCCCAGGAAACGTCAGGACAGACATACCGTCGACTCCAGAACGATAGTGCGGGTTCTAATCCCAGATTATGTCTTTAAAAAAATTATTAACATCCCTATGCTTTTTTTTTGCCTAGGTCATCAAGGCAAAAAAGCATAGCGTAGGGCCCTGAGCTTCCAAGCTCTCTCGTTTCGTGAGTGCTTCGTGCATACTAACTAGCTAGACAACTACGACCATTGTAAAAGTTCTCTTCCATGTTGCGTTTTCTTAAATCAAATTTTGTAGATGTGAATGAACCACGACAAATGGACAACACTTCAGCAGTAACGTGTAGTGTAAAGATTGGGCCTGTCGGGAGCTTAGAATTTGAAGATACTCTAAAGCTTTTCGGGTTGGGGGGGGGGGGGCTCTGCCCCGTCCACCCCGCTAGGGGCTCCGCTGGAAACCCCATCCCAAACCCTTCCGGCTACGCGCCTGATTGTACTATAGATGTTGGCAAAGTTGACAAACTGGAATCAATTGAGTCTGAGCATGTTACAGCTACATTTGAATGCGCCGATGCCTTCACTCAAGTTGTTGTTTCTGTGTGTGCATGTGTGTGTGTGTGTGTGTGTGTGTGTGTGTGTGTGTGTGTGTGTGTGTGTGTGTGTGTGTGTGTGTGTGTGTGTGTGTGTGTGTGTGTGAGAAAGCCAGTGTATGCCGGAGTATGTGGTGTGGTGTGTGTGTAGAAAAAAGAAAAAAATGGAAAAATGAAAAATAGGGATTCACTGGCCAGAAAAAGTCACTTCAAACAGCTGTGTGGTGGATACCAGGCTAAAAATAGTGGCGGTCAATTCATCAGCCTTGCAAGCTGTTGAATGGTGTAATCCCAGCACAAGTTGCTATGTCTAACATAGCTGTTCGCTATCATCGCTTCCGCGATGGGCATGTCTGAGGTCTGAGGTGTGTGTGTGTGTGTGTGCGCGCGCGCGCACGCGTGTGTGTGTGAGTATCTGCAGATCACGACACATGTCCTTTGAGTTCAAGCAGCACGAGGGCCGCGGCCTGTCCAATATGATGCGCGGCTGCTCACCAGCGTGTATCAGTCTGATGACTGAGCTGTGCAAATACGACCCGGAATACAGGTACTGTAGTCATGCACAATGGAAAAGGCCATAATTATTGTCCTAACCTATGGACAATTGTTTTTGTACACTCTCTTGTGAAAGAATAATGAGCTCTGATGAGGCAGAAAAGCCACAATGGAAAAGTCATATGGTCCTTACCACCAGACCTAGTGCTCTACATGTACGTTGGTATATCTAATACAAGCTCAACGCTGTAGACAGCAAGCTGTTTTGGCCATAAAGGCCTCATCAGTATAGCTACGAGCTTTTTAAGTAGGCCGAGCTACCAGCCACGGTGCAAAGGAGGCACCACAGACATTTTTAAGATACTGAGCTCGTTGCTCTAGCGCCAGAGTGCTCTAACTACGAAAAGTAGCGGGCAGTGCGTAATGCAGCAGCACTAGAGCAGCCTACCGAGAGTCCTCAACAAGACGAATGTCGAGGAGCGTAATACCCAATGCTGTAGACAGCAAGCACATGTACCGGCATATAATAATTGAACCTGGTACCCGCTTTGAAGAGCTCTTGGCGCAGTTCCCAGTACAGCCCGGTCTACACATTGGGGAAGAGTGTACGGATCAAGCACACGTAAGCACGCACACGCGCACGATAACCATGGATATTTTGAAAGAAACTTGAAGAAAGACACAGTCTCCTATAGAAGCTCAGGGTCATGGCGGTTAAAAGAAATACAGGCCCAGAGTCTATCATATAGAAAGTACAGTATGTGCGCTACATCTTAGCACATGAAACCTCAGACCCAGATTAGCTGCTCCGCTCAAGTTCTATCCCGTTACCTTTCTAAGGGTTGGATAATCAGGTGGTGCATAATTATTTACATTGAAGTGGACTCATGTGCACCGGTTTGCTTCTGGTAGTGACTGAAACTCCCTAATTATAAAATTAATGTGCATTATACCGAAGGCATCATACGGTTCTCGCCACTATCCCGATTTTATGATCAATGGATTCAACCTGTGCGTGTGTGTGTGTCCGTGTGCATGTTTGTGCATGTGTGTGTGTGTGCACGTGCGCGCGCGTGTGCGTGTGCACGTGCTTGTGTATGTGAGTGTGTGCGTGCGTGTGCATCTATGTGCGGTATCTGTTGTTTTTTGAATGCACGTGTGCCAGGTACACCGCAAAGCGGGGGCTCGCTCATAATTACTTTGTGGAGCTGCGGTAAGTACTGCACACAGTGTTTTCCCGACTGACCTAGGATGTACATTGTTCTACTACAGTCAGACCTCGCTTATCCGGTCCTCGTTTATCCGGATCCCTCGCCATCCGGAAGAAAACCGTTGGTTACCGATTTAGCATATGCCATGCTTACATACAGTATGCATGAGTGTGTTCGATTATCCGGTTCCCTCACCTAGCCGGATATTTTTGTTGAAAACGGATGTGTGCGGTTTTGCGAGGTCTGACCGTATTACTTGTCAATGGGATTACTGCTGGTCTCACTAGATTCTGGTTCTGCTGTGCTTGGGTCTGGGTGTGAGGTCAGAGATTGGATTGGCTTAACTTGGCGCAAACAACTTGCCGAGGCACTCTTTGATGAGACCTTGATGTGTTAAGTGGAGGCCAGTATCGCTGACAGCAGCAGCTGACAGTAATGCCACAGCTAATTTAGGTTCAAAATACTTCCTCGTCTTCCTATCACGCATATTGCCCACCACCAGAGCAACGACCTCTCCGTTTTTTTCCCCGTTATCGCACATTTGCACCGACTGTGCTTCATGTCAGACAGCCAGGTAGCCAGGTGGGGAGAAGGGGTGGCATGGCAGCACAACCCCAACTTGAAAGAGTTTGCTTTTCGTGTCTAAGAATGAAAATACAGCCGATGTTTGGCGGGTCAAAATCCAAAGTTTCCTCGTTGAAGTTTGATGACACAGTGGTAGCTCCGGTGATAGTTATGAGGAAGCTGGTTGCTCCCAACACCAGAGATCGTGCTTTTCCGAATTTTGATGGGTACAGAAATTTCATTTCTAACTTTCTTGCACTTGTTCGTGTACCTCTAGTTTCTGTCAACCTATTGAGTTCACTGCGGGCACAATTTTGGAGATGGGGAACAGCTTGAGCCCATCAACAAACCAATCCCATGATACAGTCAGACCTCGCTTAGCTGCACACATCCGTTTTCTGGATAGGCGAGGGAACCGGATAATCAAACACACATACTGTATGTATGGCATATGCTGTAAGTGAGTCGGTAACCAATGATTGTCTTCCGGATGGTTAGGCCCTCATCAGACTACGTACATAGAAAATCCAGTACAAAATCACATAAAACCTAAAAGGCAACATTTTTCCATGCCTGCATTCAGACTACACATTTTGCATGCAATATACAGGCAATCTTTGACCCTACGAAATTTTGCAAAGGGCCTGGGATGTGTGAAAGCAACGGACAGTCGTACCCGGGTACAAAGTTCGTACAACTGCCTGGTGAAAGTACGATAAATGCAGGAAAGTTGCCTTGTACAAGGGTTGGCCCCCTGCCTGAAAGGATTGGGCAGCTTTTTAGGCTTCCCGCCAGATTCTTGTTGTTGTCTTGGAAACTTCTATGTAAATGTGACTTATAGGCTGTTTTGTACCTAGTCTGAAGAGGGCCTAAGGGATCCGGATAAAAGAGGACCGGATGAGCGAGCTCTGGCTGTATCCGATTTTGACTGTGAGACAGTTTTTACCAGCGTCGGGTTCGAATGCAGGGCTCGTTGTTGAGTGAATGCACGTATAGGTGTTGTGCATGCTGCTGCGTTTGTGTCACTTCGTTGTAACAGACTGCTGCACCATCTTTTGTTCCCCGTATACACACACTTTCCGTACTTGTCCCCGTTGGGACGGATAGTATTTGGCCCGGTCTGCCGTATTGGCCTCACTTCCCATTCGGGACTCATCGTAGCACAATTTGCACTCTTGTTGGCGTGCTTTACTGTAGATGATTCAGCGGATCTGAGCAAGGAGACTAAGTATTTGTCTTCATGCTGACTAAGCTTGCTTTACGACGATCTCTTGTTCACTCTGCTGCTGGCTTTTGTGTTTCGACGGTTTGCAGTGAGCAGCACCACAAGAGAAAGGAGGCACGGAAAGCGGCAAAGGCGCTGGCAAAACCAGCGGCGGTCCAGCGTGGTAGCCTACCTGCCATCGAGCCCAAACGCGGGCTGCCTGCGAGAGGCCGTCAGCCAGCAGCACAGGCAACTGGAGGTCCACAACGGCAGGTGGGTTTCTTTCAGCATAGATAGCACGTGTTCTGTTCCAATGCAAGACGGTTAATTTTTTCCCGGTCTTTTCGTGTATGTGGTGTGCGTGCATGTTTTGTGCGCACGCGCGTGTGTGTGTGTGTGTGTGTGTGTGTGTGTGTGTGTGTGCGCGCGCGCGCGTGCGTGTGTACGGCATGTGACTGTATGTTGCAATGTGGCCACCAGTCGTCCGTGGTGCACATGCCCGCTCTCAGCTCAACCAGTAGTGTCACTGGCGCACATCACGCTACCAACGGCGGTGCTAGCCTCGCCCCTCTGAAGAAGAAGCCGTTGAAGAGCGAAGCGCTGGCTAAAATGAAGGAAGCACGTGCCAAGGCCCAGTACCATCAACCGTTCATGCACCCGGGACTCATGGAACATGGCCTGCAGTCTGGATTCCTGGACGGCGTGCATGGTACTGGTCTGCATCCGGCCGGATCAACTCTTATGGCACAGCCCCAGCACAGGAAGGTACGTCTAACCACCCTACAAGAGCTGTTTACAATAATTGTTGTCCTGCAGATGCGCACACAAAGCCATCCCGGCCATCACACGTGCATATGATTTGCTGTCATCACGGCTTGTTGTTTGTCCGCTTGTTCTCCTGGTTATCGCAACGGGTATCTACTGTTTATCGGATGTTCTGTATCTGCAGGATCAGGAAACCTTGGAGAGGAAAATAAATCCGTATACCGGTGCAGGAAGAGGCCTTCCGCCGTTGCGGCGACGTCAGCCGTAAGCCGGCATTGTCACAGTGGCCAGCTGTACGTGGTGCACCCGTGGAGGCCAGAGATTCCATGCATGTCCGGCGCAGGCAAGTTAGTTCAGCAGGGACGCCCGCTCGAGCCTGTCATTTGCATTGCATTGCATAGCGGCTCTGTCAGAACAGTTCTAACTGAACCCACTGGCTGTTTGCACCTGGCAAGGACAAGTCACTGGAGACCACCTTGATACCATTGGAATGACGTATCACTGTCATCACCACTGCATATGTAGAGGTGGTAACCGCTCAACCGTCACACTTCCGGGTCACATTATCATGATGATCTACTTGTACAAGGCGGCAGGCTGCTTCCACCTGGCAGCCTGGCCCCAATGTTTACTCCACCCCGCTTTCCCAACAACTCTCTCGCTATTTACCAACACTAATCTTCCGGCGTATCCCAACCTATCCACTTTGCCACAGCGATCTTGGATCTCGAGTCCAACTGGCATGGCCTTGACACTTGTGCGATTATGCCATTCGTTTTGTTTGTGGCGGTGTTTGTCAGTGTAACTTGCCCTCCGACTGTGCACAACTGTTATGAATGCACCAGTATCAGTTCCCTACCACGGCCTGCCATCTACTTGTAGCTGAGTGGTAGCACGAAGCGGGTCAGCTCACATTTGCTACAATGATGAGATGGAAATGCAACCTTCCCACTTGATTCGAGTTTCTCCCGTGCAATGTTGAACCCTCCCCTAATCTGTTTTAGACGATCGTACCCGACATATAACCGGAGTAATACATCGGACTCATGCCGCGGCTTTCAGCGAATTAGCTGAGACCTTTGCCTGCACATAGTTTGTTGATCCATTGTCTTTGAGTCGCTCAGACAATGCTGGTTTGTTCATTCTGTTACTTCTCTGTTTGACAGCACTGTACATTTGGTACATAGAAGCTCTGACCTAATGCCATGTGATTGTAAACATCCGTACCCGTATCATTTCGTTTGTTTGCCTTGGTCGACTTTCATCCCTCGGGTCTTCTGTACACTGTAATAGATGTTTAGAGCTGTGTTGTGTTGTGTTGGTGCTCGTCCTGTCCAATCTGGACGGCTGTGTGTTTGACTGGTCTGTCCATGCTCACAACAGACACAAGTGCACGGTGTGTGTGTGACATACTGGATTTCCAGAAGTACATGTACGTGCACAGTGATGTCATTGTACAGCACAGCCATCAAGCTGTCAAGCTGACAAGAATCAGACTCCATGACATACGTAGCGTCGCCAATCATCCGGGCTGAACAGGAACTACATCATACATGTAGTTAGTCTGATTCTTGATTGCTGTGCTGTGTGCTGGTGAGTGTGGCAAGGGCCTGATATCCAAATGATGACATCGATTCCGTTCAATTGGCATTGCAATAAGACACTGTCTGTTTGGTGCTGGGATGGCATACCACGTCATTCAAGTCCAGAAGTGTAACAACCAGTTACCTACTATACATCATGTATGTGTACGCATAGATACATGTATGTCAATACATGTGAATGCTGCTGTCTGATGATCGCTCCGACGCGTGAAACTTTAAGTAAGTTACAGCTAACACAGCCTTTCGCCTCCGTTGTGTGTGTATGTCAATATGTATGTCAATACTGGACAGGTATTCTACACTACAATGCTTTCCAGGCTGACCAATATTATAATTATTAGTAGTACTGCTCTGGCATGTAGATCTACATGTACATGACACCAAGTCACCGTTACTTACCAATTACAGGTGACTAACTTTATAATTATGTACCTTGTAAGTTGATGACACCGTGACTAATAACTGGCCAGTGTTTGGCTACCCGTTTCTTTTGTACAATGTAAGTAATCAGCGGAAGTGACACCAACACTGAGTTCAGCCTCGGTTTGGGCCTATTTTTAATAATAGTTTTAATAGCGCCTTCACAGACTGTTTCAAGAGTATGTTAGTCAGAGAACACCATAGTAATACACCATACTGCGTTCAGCATTGACGTATTTCATGCAGTAGCACCAGTACATGTACCAGCCTCGCCTGCCAGTCCGCATTTCGTGACCCATGATGATGTTACCGGTGGGTCTTCACATTCTACAATTATGTCCAATACAGTCACTGTTTTGTTCTTCTTACATAACATTCTTGCCTTGTTGCTGGGGTGTGGAAATCGGTACGCGGTCAGGAAAGGGCCCTGTATTCTGTAACCACAAAATAGTATCTTCTGCCGGTTCTGGCTCAGTAAGCGGTCCGCTGTACCATGATCATTGGACCAACGGCAACGGCTGTACTGTGACCATGGTGACGCACTGCCAGTTGTGCCAGGCAGGCATCTGACAAAGAGTCGTAAAACTACTTCCCACCTGATCATGCAGGATTACTATTAGTTGTACCAATCTGCGTTGTCGAGGTCCTTGAAACAAATCATCTCAGAAATGTATCCCCTTCGGCTTCAGTCAGACACTGTGTGGCCGGCGCTATGCAGCATGCCACCTTTGCTGTTGCACTATTCCTTAGAAGCAAGAGCATGGACCCCAGGCCAGGGTCTAGCGGTCCATGCTCTTGCTTCTAAGGAATAGTAGTAGTACTTATAGTATGTACATGTAGATCTACCTGTAAGCTGTAGCTGTCCTCCCTTGCAGCTTGGTAGAAGCAAGGAGTCGTATACGACTCCCTGGCACATGGTCAGAAGTTAGTTGAGCGATGAGTGCGAGACGCGAGTGCAACGACAAGTCAGTTCATCCGCACCCGCAAAGCGGGCTGAGTGCTGAGTGCTGCTATTGACGGATGGCCATCGAGAGATTTGACTTTGAGAGTGAAGAGTAACGCTAACACTACAGTAACAACACTACATCAATTTATTTGATCAAGGTTTGAGTCAAAGACAAAGCCAGGGCCATAGGCCCATAGCCTTAGGCATAGGAAAAGACGAAGTGCACGGTCCGGTCCGACCGTGATCGGTCCAGGACATGAATCAGTGAAAAAGTCGACCCACCCGTACCGTGGGGAAGGAGGAAACGATGTTCATGCTCATTTCCGGTCAAGTACATGTATACAGTATCGATATCCCATTATTATTGGCATTGACATTTGGCAGGACCACCACCTGAAATACCTGTGCTATGGGCCTGCATGTAGCCATGTACATGTACATGTACATGTACCGCATGCGGCATCGTAGACACTTGTGCCCAGGGAGTCGTATTATATATATACGACTCCTTGCTTGTGCCCAAGTGTTGTGTTGTTTCGGTGCTACCCTCTACTTGTGGCGCGAACACCAGGCATCAACACTCCGGGGCCCGGGCCTTCGACAACGATGAATGTATGCGCTGTGCAAGACTGACAGCAACACAAGACTGAGGCAAGAGCGCGCGGGACACATAATATTCAGACAGAAGGCTATGCCGATGGACATCCATAGCCTCCTGGCGCGCTGTCCTGCATGGTTATGCCTCCACGGGCCATGCCCATGGCTAGCCGGCTATGCGAGTAGGGGGTCCTTCTGCCTGAAGTTCTGGAACGTCCTTCTGGATTGGAACGTCGCCACTCAGTGTCCAGTGGTGTCACGAGAGGGAAACCAACAGCCGTGTAGGGTGACGACGCGGTCAAACTCTAAATGAAACTAGCGACAATATAGCAGCTGAGAGTGGGAAGACTAGTGCACTAGTGATGGATAAGAAATCAGATATCACACACTGCGGTTTCTATCCATTTGCCTGGACGAAAATGCAATGAATGCAGTGCTAGGCCCTGTACATCGTAGCATGTACCGGTACAAGTGTGTGTGTATGATATAACCTAACACCCTAACCCTAAAATCAAATTTTCACCAGTTGTAGTCTTCGGGGTGCTGAGTCGAATGGTCTTGGTCCGAGGAAGCTGGGACGCTCCCTTCCTCCTTTATTCCCAATCGACCTCGCGCACTTACACCGAAACTGGGTGACTGCGCCCTACTAGATGGGGATTTGTATGCAAAATGTCACTAAAAGCGCCATTTCGTTCTTATAAAAGCACGGATGACCGCGATTGGCCCATATGTTGTAGTCTTTTGGACGCTGAGTCGACTGGTTTTGGTCCGAACAGGCTGCGATGCAGCGTTCCTCCTTTATTCCCAATCGAACATGGTTGAACAAGTGGTCACGTGCTCCTCCGTACACCAGTCACCTGGTCACCGTACCTGCAGTGCAGGGTACAACTTACTAGCCTGTTTGACCTTTTTTGGGTGCAGTCCTGTCACTCGAGTTGAACCTTGGTGTGAAAGTTGTCGCCTGCATGCTGGCGCGGTGCTTTTATAAGAACGAACGACATAGCACTTTTACAGTTTTAACTTTTAGTGAGATTTTGCATACAAATCCCCATCTAACAGTTAGTAGGGCGCAGTCACCCAGTCACAGTTTGGTGGAAGTGCGCGGGTTCGATTGGGAAAAAAGAAGGAAAGGAGCGTCGCAGCTTCCTCGGACCAAGACCATTCGACTCAGCACCCAGAAGACTACAACTGGTGAAAATTTGATTTTAGGGTATACTTCCAGTATTAGATAAACTTTGTTATTGTTCACGCAATTGTTAGATTGACAGCATGAAACAAGGTGGAGGACACTGTGTTCGGAAACAGTGGCCTTACTACAACCTTCCGCGGTTGGCAGAGTTTGTAGATGAAATTCAAGTTTTCTTGACCAGTACTAGTTTGCGTGGCAGCATCAACAGCAGGCAGGTTAACGAGTGGAGGTAACCAACGTGTAGCCTGGGTGTTCCGACGTGGTGAAGGCCTACCCAGGCCATGGCCACGTCGGGACATCACCAACCCCGTTTACAGAGAGCACCTTCTCGCGACAGTGTCATGGTGATGACAAAAAACTGTTGACAGTTGACGAGCTGAGAGAAGAACGCCATGGGCAGAAGTTGGAAGAAAAAAGAAGTCTTTATACAAGTTAAAGAAAAGAGCGAAGAAAACCAGACGACATCAGGAGTAGTCTCGTAACCCCCTAGCTAGTACTGAGGGTCAGAACTGGGTGCGATACCCATTATGGTTCAAATGGTCCGCAGGGACCGGGGCTCTGCCAACCGCGGAAGGTTGTAGTAAGGGCACTGTTTCCGAACACAGTGTCCTCCACCTTGTTTCTGTCAATCTAACTGTGTGTGTGTGTGTGTGTGTGTGTGTGTGTGTGTGTGTGTGCGTGTGTGTGTGGTTAGTTTGACAGCATGAAACAAGGTGGAATTGGGTTATATTACCATACACGCGCGCGTGTGTGTGTGTGTGTGTGTGTGTGTGTGTGTGTGTGTGTGTGTGTGTGTGTGTGTGTGTGTGTGTGTGTGTAGGATGTACATGTATGTAGCACAAGTCATGTAGACCTCGCTAGCGCAATACATGTAGCAGTATCGCGCTGTGGACCAGGTTGACCAATGACCATGGACATCGACTGGTGAACTCTGTCGACATGTGGTAGATCTATACTACGGTGTTTGGTGGACCTTGGTGCTCGAGAGGGTGGACATGGTCGATGCACGTCAGTTCTGACCTACCAGTATTTCATTTTTTACTTCCGAGTCTGTCTGGTGACTGACAGTCTCCCGACCGTGAGGTACATGATGTACATGTACCTCACGTCTCTCTCTCAACTATTACTTACTCAAGTCTCACTGCATGCACAGTCTCTGGAAACACTGCACTGCCCTCAGCTGATGACTAGCCTGCGTAAGTAATAGTTAGTTACAGTAGATCTACGTTAGTAAGTCCATTCGCCTTTATCATTGACATGACATTGCCATTGCCATTGGGCCCAGTTCCCGTTTATTGTGCGAAATTTAAACCAATCAACCAACCAAAATAGTTCAGAGCTGTTTGTCGCAATGACTACTATACTACAGCTGTACAATGATTATGTATTGTGATATTAAATGTCTGTGCACGCAGTGCCACTTCTTCCACATGCATCACGGTCTACGTCTACGTCTAGCTAGCGTCTGCGTGCATACATGTAACTCTACTAACATGGGCTTCACACAAACACCATGGCATGATATGAGGACTCGACCACACACTCGACTCAGCAGCAGATTATAATCAGGCTCCTGAGTCCTGTCGTCCTGACTTGAGCATAGCAGTTGAGGGCCTCGATCCGGGACCATTTTAGATTTCGATCTAAAATGACTGTACAAAATACCTGTAATGCTGTATTGAAGGCTGAAGTGTGTCATTATTTGCATGCATGCGCTAGCTGTATACTGCACAACTGCCGTATAGGCTATATCGTATACATGGTATCAAGAGTCCATAACCCACCTGGGTTATGGACTCTTGATGGTATACGAAGGCTATTACCATGATTACCTAGTAACTGGATCCTACGCAGGGCCAGCAAGCCCAGCACGTGGGATCATGACTGTCATACTGCACATGTACAGTAGTTAGTAGATCTACATCAGCAGTACTGAATATTATTATGTATAACAGGTATGGATGAGTGACTGCACCGTGCACGTGCATGATAGAGTCGAGTTCTCGGAACGGCAGAGTTTCTTGCCAATCTTGGCGTTGCATGCGCTACGTAGATCTACGTAGACCTATGCGTCGCAAAACTACTGCGAGTGCCGAAGTAAGTCACGGAGTCAGTGTATCCCTGCCCCTGCTGGCCTGGTCTACATCTAACTGTTACTTCAAGCAGCCAGCTACTGCACTGACCATGACTACCGCGACTTGTGAGGTTTGTTGCGGAGAAATACATAAATACAACTAGTCTCCGTCCACTCGGCTGGATCGAGAAGTCTTTCCGATGTCAGCGTACGAAGAGGCGACAACCACACACGCACCGAGCCACTATCAAGAGAGTTTATGTCGCGAAGGACTGCAGTGATATGTTTCATTCTCTCGTGCGCCCAGTGACCCAGGAGACTGGAGTTTTGTAGCATCAGGCTGAACTACTTACTCGAGTAAGTACTACGTTAGTTACTTGAGAGTAGGAGACGAAGCAGGGGAAACGCAGATTATTGTAATGCAGCAACGCTGACTGTTACTATCGGTGAGTAGAAGCGGCGGCGAAAGCCACGACTTTGTTGTGCAAGCGCATGCAATAGCTGATGGTTGGCAACGCGAGTGTCCACATCAACCGTTCTTGACCAGACTATGCACGCACCATTTCGGGCGCGCGTGCGGTGGTGTGCCTAATATGCTTGGACGAGTACGCCAGTGGAGTGTGTGGGCCAGTGACAAAGTGTGTTTCTTGATGTTTTCCTGTTATTATTTCCTTGCTTCGAAGAGCAGTAGTATACATGATTACTGGTAGATCTAGTACATGTAATCACTAAATTAGGTTTGACATCGAGCGATAATGTGTAGATACGCTGAGTATTGAGTTTGTTGTTGAGTGCTGTTACCAGATCGCTTCTTACTTTGTGACTTCTCAGTGACAACGAATAAGATTGTAATCCACTCGAGACGTAGCAGTGCACGAGTATGTGGTGTGCTGGTGTTTCATATTCGTCCATATTTTGTTCCTTCTTGCCGCCATACATTACCAGGTAGAAGGTGGTGTTTTCAATGTAATGTAAACGAAACGCTTCTCTGGTATCGAGGAAAATGATTACCGTGCCAACGATGGAGGTGTCCGCACCGGGGCTCGTAATGAAGGATGCTGACTTCGAGTCGATATACGTGGTGAAAGACTATCTCGGCCGTGGTGCGTTTGGAGAAGTACGCAGTTGTGTGTCCCGTATGGATGGCTCCTTGTTCGCCGTCAAGCACCTCGATCGAAGTCGCATGGACAAAGAAGCTGAGGAGGTGACGGAGAAAGAGATCGAGGTACGTAACAGTTCATTTTAAATTTTTTATATCGTTCATTTTAATGTATCCGGGTATGGATGTGTGGTGCTAACCGAATATAGGCGCTGCTCTGGTTGGCACGCAAATAAGAAATAATAAGAATTAGGAACTGTGCACTGACAGCCTGACCTATCCCTTTTAGGATCCTACGACACTGTCACTGCATCGACACGACGATGTGGTACAAGACGCTGTTTCTATGTTACATTTTGTAGAGAGCGTGATAGTTTGATGGATTGGTGAAGTGCGTGAACGGTGAAGTGCGTGGTCCTGTAATACTCGTACTCGTAGTCGTGTGTGGCGGAGAGCTACATAGGAAGCGGCGCGCTGTCGGCGGAGGTCCAAAGAACGTCGCTAAAGTGAACTGGGAGATGATGTGTGACGATGTTTCCCACGGGTTACAGAGCATACTCATCTCTCTGCGTGCTGCACTGTGTGTGGTGTATCTGACTGGGGCACCAACTAAGACCAAGTGGTGAGCCTGGTGCCTCCCCTGTTTGTGTGTCCAGTGTGTTGGGAGTGTGGGGTGTGTGAAGTATCTCCAAGCTGGAGTATTGTGGGATATGAAAAGATTGTTTGGTTCATTGACAATGACATCCTACAGGCTACACTGAGAAGAACATTGGGACACATGGGCAAGAAATGATACACACGGATAGTTCTGGATTTAGTCACCCTGGAAGTCTGCAGACTTCGACAGACTTCTGCTTTTTATGACTGTAAACTACTAGTATTCAGTTCTGGGAATTCCAACATTGCAGAAGTGAGATAGGGAAGCATGATGGAGTCAACAGCAGGGAAGACTAGACTAGAATATTCATTTAGTTAAGAGTTCCTGGGTTGACACATGTTGACATACAAGTGATCACACCCTGACATGCTGTCCTGTCATGTCAGCGGAAGTTCTGTTGTGTACAAAGCATTTGAGTATTGTTGCTGTTTAGAGTATTACACACTTCCCCTAGAGTATTCATGCTGCATGAATAGCTTACTGCTTAGCTTTTTTCACAGTGGAATGTGGAAAGAAAATCTTTTCTCCTCCCAGTCTCCTCCACAGTCCACAAGCAACATACCCTACAAATGCAACAGAGTTGTTTTATACGGTGTCCTTGCTGTTGTGGACTCGAATACACACACTGACTGTGTGTGTTATGTTGTGAACAGGATGCAGGATGTAGAACTCCCTTACAGGGTATCAGTTAGGCCCTGATTACTCCATTCATAATACTTTATTAATAGTGAGTATCTCCTTTTGTATGTTTTGGTGTCCTTGATGATGATTTTGGGAGCCTGGCGGGGGGGGGGGGGCATGGGTGCTGCATGAGTACTGGTACATTTACTGAGTCTGTGGATGTTCTCAGTCTGTGTGTCTGCCATCATGGCTAGCACTACATGTAGTACAGACACACTGCCTCAGTTACAGATGTGCGCACAGTAGTCCTAGTACAGTAGATGGTGTCCAGATGGCATGGTGGTGTACACAATACTACACATGGCGGCACAGTACACACGGCGGCACAGCACAGAGTGGCGGGTAGAGAAGCAGTTGTTCTAAAATGCCATGTCATGCGCGAATGCAAGAATGTGACATGATGGGTTAGACTTGGCTCCCCACCGTAGATGTGTTGACTGTAGCTATCGGGCTGTGAGTTCTGGATTTTAGCAGCTTCATCCTTGTATGAAGAAGGGCTATTGCTATGCTCCACATCATGCCTGGGCCGGGCACTGACAGCTAGGGCACAGTGATAGCACAGTGCACTGAGCCTTGCTGGCTCTATTTGAGGAAGGAAGTGCCGGCTTTTCTAGTGGCTCATATGAAACTACACTGCGAGAGATCTTAGGTGACAATGGAAACAAATGGGGGCGATTCAATTGCTTCCACTTCTGAATTAGTGCTGAAATCAAGGCATGCCCATGTTTGTACTCTCTGTGTACATGTACATGTGTAGTGAGTAGTGCCGGAGTAGCAGGAGGTTCTCCTTGCTGGCTGCTGATGCATGGGATCAAAGTGCTCTGTGGTCAAAACACTCTGTTCACAGTGTTGTAGAAGAGCTGAACCAGTGAAAGGCCTTGGCATGCTTTTTGGTACATGTTAGGTTTACATACCTGATAGGAATGTCTAGCAGCTAGTGAAGCAGAGCAAGCCGCCATGTGTGGAAATCAGCATAGCCTGCATGCACTGTCTAGTGTTGCTGGCTCAGCTTAGTTGGGTTCATTTGCTGCTGCAGCCCTGACCCAGTTGTACACAACATGGGGGTAGTGGAGTTAGCACAGGGGAAAGAGATAAAGAGATGAGTGTACTATGCATTATAGCTTGCTTGACTAAGTGCAGTGTGTTATCTGACTAGGCTAGGGACGCAGATGTGCCATGTCTTTGCTTTGGATGAGTAATGTTTGTTCATGAATCATTGGAGGCTGGCAGGGTGGATGTGTATGTCATGGGTTCTGAGAAGGTCATTGTTTCTGTGTTGTGTGGGTTGACTGAAGTGCTTGGCTGGCTGTGTCCCCATGGGCATGGTCACGTGTAGTGTATTATTGGTTTGCGTCAACTGTCAGCACTCTGGTGCATTCCGTGATGTATTGGCTGGGGCTCCTGCATAGTGATGACGAACATCCACTGGAAAGAGTTCAGCAGAGAAAGATCCAGGAGCTGAGTTTCAGCTGATCACGTCATGGAAGTGCATGTACTTCAGGGTGATGTCCACCTGTGTATGTGCCGGCCACTACAACATTGTGGGGTGGTGGTGCTGATATACGCCTCCTTGAGCATCCAAGTGTCTTCACAGGAAGCACTTGTGCACTGGAGGAGTAGCTAGGAAGTGCAGTGGCTGTGTGTACATGCAACACCATTGCCAGTTGACTTGCAGCAGCTTGACTTGAGTGTGGGAGAAACTGTTGCTTCTACAACTATGCCACAACAAGGTCAGGTTATTGGTGCGTGGGATTGGCTATCTGGCCTTGCCACCTTCCCTGGCCGTTGAGGGGCTGCAATGACGTATGCGGAATTAGAATGGGCTGACATAATTATGGGTTCACTTGCTTGGTCACAGGATACTAATACGCAATAGATTGGAGATGTGGTGGTAATTAAACTATTGCCTGTCATCCAGTTTCCCATGATTTGTGACCATGTAAGAGTTTTGTACTCTGTGTTATCAGAAGGCGAGAATTAGGGGGGGGGGGGGGGGGGTACCATCCAAGCTAGTGTTTTGGTCAGAGAGAGGGTAGAATTCCCTATCTTCAGCTCTTCTTACTATGATTGTTGCATTATTCGTACCAGGGGTCTACTTGTAAATGCAGAGTGTCCCTCCTCCATGACCTTGGACGATAAGCATTTTCTGGCCTACTAATGTGTGTTACTAACACAGATACATGTAGATAAGGGATGTAATGGATATCCACTTGTTCAAATTCGAAACTTTGACGTAGCACTTGACCTGGTGCATGTGTACAACAAGACATGCTACAATTACAGCAGAGACAGTTTTCGCTGTTTTGAGGATTGTTCCCATCCGTGGTAGCAGTGTATCGGGATATCGGCTGGGGAGCAATTGACCTTGGAGAAATGGTGAAGCTAGGCAAGCCAAAAGATACCTTTCGAAGTGCATGTCTTGCGCCGGGGAAATGTGGCATGTCCGTTCATTCATTGAATAGGTACTCAACATTATGATCATGATATTTGTTAATGAAATATCTGTGCGCTGCATCACTAATAATGTACATGTACAGTAGGTATCGGTTATAGCGTGGGTGTTTGAAAAACGACATTTGATTCTTATTCCCGATATTTCTTACACACGGTAAATCCCGTGTGACCTATCATATGCACGTGTGACATATCATATGCGCGCACGTTTGGCATGTAGACACGTACACATGATACACACGGATCAATCAGACTCGCGGTCGTGCTAGGCGACTGCGGAGCAGCGGATACGAGAGAAGTCGGAAGAAAGAGTCCGACTGGACAGAAAAAGTGATTCTCCAATGCTCCCTTGGGCATAACTCTTTTTGTGTTGAATATTATTGTATTGAGTATGCACAGAGCACAGATGTTATTACTACAGGCGATACCCTTTGCACTAATCTGGCATATTTTGCTACACAAAATCCATTCTTAGGGCCGATATATTCCACTATGCGATAATACTGCTTGTAAGAATAAATATACACATAAAATACTCAATCTGCGGACAGAACTGTTTCGTCCTTTGTGTATACACATAAAATATGTGTTATGATTATGAAAAAATGAGTGTTCATTCTTGTAAGCAGTATATTCTTGTATACGACCACACTATAACCGATACGCACTGTATGTGGATTTCATGTTCTGTTTTAAACTTCAGATCAGTCATGGTCTTCTGCACAAGAACATTGTTTGCATGCACCAATGTTTCCGGTCGCCGTCTTCCTATCGTATTGTGATGGAGATGATCCATGGCGGGGAGCTCTTCGACGCCATTGTGGAGCGTGACCATTACAGCGAGAAAGACGCGCTGATCTGTATACGCCAGGTGATCAGCGCGCTGCAGCACTGCCACAAGCACAACATCGTTCACAGGGTAAGCATCATTTTTACTGAAGTAGGGAAATCAAGCCAGTGTAGTTTTTAGTTAGCCGTGGTTGGTTGCCACCCTTCATCTCATTCTCACGATTGGCAGTCTTACGGCGAGGCAGGAGATGTTGTAGAAAAATAAGCCGCTGCAGACGTTTCATGACTGCTGTTGCCATAGTGATCCGGTTTTGAACTGTACCAGACCAGTAACTGCTGTTTCCAAGGACATGCTTAGTTGGATGCAGACTGCCCCGCTAAGCACTGTTTCCACTGTGATCCGCTGTTCTTGGTGTGTACCTCATGGTGCTGAGTGCTTGGCTATCCATGTGCTGTCTTCTTGCAATTGTTAGGACCTGAAGCCAGAGAATCTTCTTCTGTCGCGTAAGATGAGCCAAGACGAGTCCATGGAGGGAATCGTCATCAAGTTGGTGGACTTTGGCCTGGCACTGCAGATCCCAGGTATGCTTGCGGTCTACCCTGTGCTGACGTACATGTGGGTAGAAACAATAACGTGGATGACATTTGGAAGGTCTCGTTTTCAAGAACTGATTTTAAGGTGTAAACCACAAGGCGTACCATTTTTCTCAAGTTCATCTGATGTGATCACTTGCGCCTGTGCGTGTTGCAGATGGCGAGAAGCGCATCAAGGCGGACACACGAGGAACACCGTACTGCATTGCGCCAGAGACACTGCAGGAGAAACCACTTGGCTATCCGGTCGACATGTGGGCATGCGGAGCAGTCTTCTATTTTATGTTGGTAAGTTTGATATGGCTTGTGTTTCCAATACGCACGCACGCACACACACACACACACACACACACACACACACACACACACACACACACACACACACACACACACACACACGTCTACATACTGATTGGGTCTGTCACAACTTCCCTTTTTTGTAAGCTTGAGTTTGAGTATTCTTGGATACCAGGAGCCATGGGCCTATGCTTTATAGTCGAATTGTCCAAAATAATTCGATTTCCGTTCGTAAGTCTTGCATTGGGGATGTCCTTTCTGTTCCATGCGTGTAGGTTGGAATGCCGCCATTCTGGCCCGGAGAGGGCAGTTTCGGACAACAACAGATGTACATGCGTATCGTGGAGGGCAAATACTCGTTTGACAATCCCGAGTGGGAGTCTGTGTCGACGAGAACAAGAATCCTTGTGCAGAAAATGGTGAGTGTACCTGTCAACGGCTGGCAGTGGATGAGATCTCATCCACCCCGGCCGTGCTTTTGTTTGTTATAGTGACCCTGTGAAGTTGCTTGCAGTAGACCAGCATCACATCGTGCGGTGTTCTATACATACTCGTGTGCATGAGCAAGTGGGCAACGAGGAGGGGTGCAACTGCTCATTGGCGCCTGGTTGCACAATTCTGCGTGCCTGTTGGCAGTGCTCTGGGGATTACTAGCCGCTCATTGTGACTGGATTTGTCTTCTTCCTGTGCTGCACTCCACTTGTACTTTCCAGCTGCACGTTGATCAAGATGAGAGAGTATGTGCTGACGGAGCCCTGAAGTGCGTGGCCGGTCTAATCAACGAGACCAAGCTGAGGTCGCTGCATCGCCAGGAGGCGCTACACAGGATGAAGGCTTTCCGTGGCAAGCAACGACTCAGTCACAACATGGTCTTGCAACTCATAGCTGCACGGAGAAAAATCATGGAGTGAGTTTCCAATGTGACTGGTCCAATTCGTTTTGTAATATGAAGCAATGAACATCTACGCTTCGATACACACACGACAACACTTTTGAAGTGAACAATGAGTCAAGCCTTGATTTTCTGGTGGGGATATTCGGGTCGCGTTGATCCCAGTTGGGAGTGGAGGAGCCATTGCAACTGTGTCCTATTGATTGGTGACTTTTCCACTCATTGCTCTTTCGCCGTCCCGTGCTCTCTCTCTCTCTCTCTCCCTCTGCCGTAGGTCTCAAGAGGAGAAAAAGAGCCCAAGGGCAACACCAGCAATGTTCAGACGCTTGTCATCAGTAGCTTCCAATGGTGACAGCAATTCCAGCACATGTGTTTCATCCGACTCGGATGAGTCTCCGCTCTGCAGCTCGTTTGAGGGTAGCCGCAGCCGCAGCCGTCGAAAGCGCAGCAAGAGTATGCGAGAGCAACGCGAGAAGGACATTGATGGTTTCATGGAGATGGCTGCTCGGGAGCTGCAGCTGCCAGAGAGTGCTGGCAACAGTCGACCAGCAACACCAGCACAGGGCAGCCAGACAGCAACAGATACTGCAGACAATCGTCCACAACCCGTAGCAGGCTCTGCACCTGGTGCCAACAAACAAGCTGCCGGTCACAAGTCCTCAAAGACCCAGTTACTCCAGAAGCCGGCTTCAGATCGACGGAAACGATCCGTGGAAGAGATAGGTGCTGAAACGATCGTCAAGGAGCGTCGGAAGAGGAGAATATCTATGTTGGCTGAGCTTGAACCTGGCAATAATCGATTCATATGGGGAGATCTCATCGATGACGCAGATTCTAATGCACCAGATGCAACAACAGATACGTCTGCTGAGTCACCAGCACCAGCCCTCCGGCTTCCAGACGTGGGTACAAAGACCAAAAGCACAATGCCACCGGGAAGTCCCCATCACAAACCAGCGGTGTCCCCGTCTGTGTCTATTCTCCAAGAGGAACCAGAGAGTGGTGTCTCCGGATCGTGCACAGAATCAGATTGCAGTGCATCGTCGAACAGCTCCACTCCGAATGCAACGCGTCGAGAGTTTGCCACTACTGCTCCCGCCGCAGAGACTGTTGATTCACCAGTGGAATGTACCAATCTTTACAGCCACAGCGCACCACCGAGTGTTGCTGTATTGTGTAGTCCGTCCAGCGCAAACTCCATTGCATTATCGTCGCCAGCCAGCTTGAGGCATCGACCGTCAGGACCTTGCCTTGCAGATGGAGTTGTTGGCAAGAACAGCCACAAGGCGCAGCCAAGAGCATATCCGGTTGCATTTGTTTGAGTATATTATTTTTACATCTAAGCTTGAGTACCTCGGTTCCTTTTGTATGAGCACATTATCGTTCCAAACGAGCTTGAGTACCTCCTTTGCTGTTGTAAATGTAACTTATGAAACACACACAATTTTTGTTTGTTTGTTTTCGTTGTTGATGTTATTGATGTTGACGGGTGAGAATCATAATTATTTGTAGTGGTTTTTACTCTTTTCCTTGTTTAAATCCACTGGAGAGCAGACTTTGAGCACTGGACAGTTTGCTATTGAATACCTCTATGCCCACTTGATGAGTTCTTGGGACAGTCCTAAGTTATGCTACACTCAATGGTTGTGTGAATATAATTATCATTTTCATATTGAGTTGTTCTAGTCGAACGGCCGTTGTTGGTTTGTTCGCACTACGTCAAAGTGTGTTACATCTTGGGAACGGAGTGTTCAGGCATGGCACATGCTATGCATTATTGATCTCTTGACTTTACAAATCAACGCGTGCATGATTGTGAATGTATTGAGCGCGGGCACTTTGTTGTAAATGGGTACTAATGTGTCACTAATGGATGGGATGGGACTGGTTAAAATCGACTGCATCACATGTTTATTGGCACTATGTCATCGTGATGGTGGAAGAAAAAATTATAAAAATAAAACAGTCCTATTGCAGGATTGGACGGACCTGAACTAGAGTACATATCAGGCTTCACGGAGGATTGAGAAAATGCAAACACATAATTTGAACTCATACGCTCATTCACAGCACGTCCAATGTTCATTTGCCCCTTTTCTTTTGCGTTCCCTGAACCAGGGAGTAGTACAATATATAATTTTATTATTGTACTACTCCCTGCCCTGAACATCATGAATTTCCACAACCCTTGAAGTTGTGACTACATTGTACAACCCACACGGCCATGTTATGGACAGCTGGGAAGGGATGGGGCAAGAAGACTGGAACCCAATAATGATCAGGATGCAACAGTGCTGCAATGTAGATGCTATGGAAAAGGAGCAAAGTAGAGTGTTCTGATTGGCATTGCCACTCAGATTTTCATTGACTACAAAGTAGAGTTTGCATGTCCGCATTACAACCGGCTATACCATTGTGTTAGTTGCCTGATTGATGATCGTCTCTCTCTCTCTCTCTCTCTCTCTCTCTCTCTCTCTCTCTCTCTCTCTCTCTCTCTCTCTCTCTCTCTCTCTCTGTCTCCCTGTCTGTCTCTCTCTGTCTCTGTCTGTCTGTCTCTGTCTCCCTGTCTGTCTCTCTCTGTGTCTGTCTGTCTCTCTCTCTCTCTCTCTCTGCCTGTCTGTCTCTCCTTCTCTCTCAAACAGCTTAGGAAGATTTACTTGTGCCAGGCCACCACCGGTGCACCGTGCCTGAAATATCACGGTGCCAGACACAGCGCCTAGCGGTGAGGGTGAGGTGGTCAGTCTCACAACCGGTTTGATCCACAGCTTTAAATAAAAAGAAGTCTAGTCATGTTTTTAACTCACAGCCATTGCCATGCTGGCGTTTGTTCCAATCAAAACCACACACATCACATGTCATGAGACATTACTAGATCAGTCCAGAATACTCAATAGTGCAAGAATCGGGTTGGATGTAATTTAATGGCTAATTATTATTTTTTATGCTTTGTAAGCTCAATTTTTTAATATCGGCAATGAAAAAAATGATACGGAACATGAAATCAGTCCTTTGATATGACGTACGTACGGCGTACGCTGCATACCTGAACTAGCAAGAAATACACAATATTCCGGTGAAAGAATATTGGCCAAACCACGAGATTTATTTGCGTACCTTCTTAAACTTCTTGAATGGTAACGCCACAGGACCACCTTTTTCCCACAAAGGAAGATCACTGTCCTCGATGAATGATGATAGCAGTGGCGTGTCACCTTCAATCTTTGCAAACTCTGCTTTCACTCTTTCTAAGTCGTGCGTTGGGAATAGATGGTCATCTTCAACGAAGTTGGCAAAGTGGTTTCGGAAATTCTTGAGGATTTCTCTCTTCTTTGTAACTGGCATCGTATTATTGCGAGACAATCCCAGGACGATCAGATCCATGAAGGCACAGACAGGTCCTTCCACTGGTACCCATTGCAAATACTCCTCGAAGTCGATGTGATCCGAAAAAGTTACATTTCTTTCCACTGTTCTCCACTTCTCTCTCTCGTTGTCAATTGGGAACTTGAACAATTTCTCCGACTTCGCCAGTTCATCAGACCATGGTGAAGGTTGATGTGTACTCTGATGACGATCTAGCTCTCGAAGACGTACATAAAAAGGCTGAATATTTCTACTAATCGAGCAGGGTGTTCTAATTCTGGATACAGGTTTGAACAATCCAAGGCGAGCAATACTCTCCATGTTCACTAAGTACTGTACAACATACTGGTAATCAGGTAATTGTCAAGAACAAAACCAAAAAGTGTAATTATTTTAGAGGAAAAACATTTTTTACTTTCAAAAGTATGGAACTTTTGTAATGATTTTGCACGACGTTAACGCGTATATATGTGCAGCGTAGACATATATGTACATGTCGACATGACAGGATATCGCCATCTGCATGACGTATTCTCGTTCATTGTTTGACCACATGGTTTTCATGTGGCGTATACCCGATCACGCCGATTTGCCGATTGACCAAAAAAGCAACTCGCGGTGCATGTCCAAATCAAATCAGTGGCTGTGGACGTGGTATCATTTTGGTGTCTCCTCAGATTTTTTCAGACTTTACCTGTCGTCAGGGCCTTGACATGACTCATCACCTATCTCGTTACGTTTGTGCGTAACTGTATCATTTCTGATGCTCCTGTCTGGCCATTCCTTAGGCACAGTGAAAGAATTCTTTCTATCCAGCAAGTGACATTTCAATTATTTTGGGATAGAGTATTTAGACGTAAATGTACGTGGTACATGGTAGAAGTCATTGACTAAAACTGATTGCTGTAAACGTAGATATTGAATTCGACCGAAAACAAAGCAAGCGCTGGACTTTTGCATCCCGTTGTTTGGGCCTAGAGATGTGATGCCTCCATTGCATGTTCCTAGGCTGCAGATTCATTGTTTCATAAAGCATCATGTCTGATTCTGAAATTTCTGCTGACGTGAATACAATGGCTACTGAGAACAAAGAGGCTAGCATTGATCCAAACGAGGCTACTGCTGTAAACAGTGACAAAGTGGATGATTGCGAAGAAGGGCCAGTTGGAGAGAACGACACGCCTGTGGGCAATACCAATGGCGAGATTGGAGATTTTGTAGCAAATTCACCCAGTGCTGCTGTCGACATTGAAACACCCACTGTTCAGGACAGCGATGATTTCACTCTGACCTCGCCCTCCCAGCCCAACGAGGAGGTGCTGGAAGATTGGGAGAGGGACCTGCAAGATGTGCTTGAGAAAGGAGAGCTGGCATCAGAGGAGGACCGAGCGAGTAGCCAGGAAGTTGTTGACGATGCAGACCTGAGCTACGAGGCATGGCAGGAGAAATTAGACACAGTGCTGACTGGTGGAGTGGACTATGGTACACTACGCACCCTATGCCGTAGTCGCACCAATGATATACCCGTGGAGCGGCGGCTGGATGTGTGGAAAGTTGCTCTGGGTTTGTCGCGCAAATCAGATGCCATGCAAGGCTGGGATGGTTCATTTGACTGTCTTGATAAAGAGGCAATCGAAGAGCAATGCTCACGCCAGGTGGAGAATCTGCCCGACGACTTCAGTAGTGACGAGCGCGATGCCGTGTGCACCACAATGCGCTCTATTCTGACTGTGTACTCCAAATCGACTGGTCAGCGGTTTCGACCCGATGGCGGCTGGGCTGAGCTGATGCTAGTCATCATGGCACTGCGGCCGTGCAAGAAAGACGCCTACAACATCCTGTACACCATTCTGCAGAAGTACATCCCCAAAGACTGCAGAAGCACCGGGAAGCCGTTTCACCTCTTCCGCCTACTCCTGCTGTACCATGACGTGGAGCTGTGTAACTTTCTGGATACGCGGCGCGTTGGCTGCGAGCTATACTTACAGAAGTGGCTGCGAGCACTCTTTGCTGCCAGTTGCTCCGTGGAAGTGGTGCAAAGCATGCTCGATATTTACCTGCTGGAGGCCGATCCCTTCCTAGTTTTCTTTCTGGCCTTAGTCATGCTGATGAATGCTAAAGAGATGCTGATGGATGGCACACAATCTACTCGCACTGACCTCGCGGAGAGTATATCCCTATTCCCGTCCGAACTCGGCAAAGATGATCTGGAAGACTTCTGCCTTCTAGCGCAGCACTACGCTTCGCTGACACCTCAGTCGTTCCGCATGGACTACCATGCGCCGCTGTTTGGGCCTACGAAAGGATCTTCCATTTCCGGTGCCCTGCCGCATGCCCTATGCTTACCTATTGGCCTGACAGAGCTCGTATCCAATTTACGACGACGGGCAGCGGAGATTGCTGGCTTTGAAGAGCCGTCATCGAAGCTGTCAGCAGACACCGCCGTCTCTTACTTTGTAATCGACTGTCGTCCATTGGAGCAGTACCAGTCCGGGAGACTAATGTTCTCTCACCATCTTGACCCGGAGCTGATGCTGAAGGACGTCACAGCGTTCCACGACAAGGTGTCAGTGCTGCAGGATGTCCACGCTCGCATCAATGAAGGTGAAGACCACTGGTGCTTCATCGGAACTGGCCGCGAAGAAGAGGACCAATACATGCACATGGCAGTGGCACACGTGCTACAGCGTAACGTTCAGTATGTGAGTGTGGTCCGCGGTGGCTTTGCCGGCCTGCAGGCTCAGCTCTGGCATCGTGTACAAGATCTGCTGGAGTGCGATGGCGATATGCAGCCCTCCTTCCCGTTCTACGCCATGAACCAGGAGCAGATTGATTCGTCGGCGATGGGTGTTGACAAGAGTGATCGTCTTAGTCGCCCTTCTCTTGGCGAGCTGAGAGATGCGAAGGAGGCAGCTGTGAAGAAAGTCAGTGCTTTAGCAGATCGCGTGAAAGGTGCTGTCCAGGAAAAGAGACAGGCCATGCGAGATCGGGCTGCTGAGGTGCAGAAGCGGCTAGCTGAGAAGGCATCGAAGGGAGACAACGGAGAGATGCTGGGTGTTGATGTTGACATGTCACCCCCAGCGTTTAGCATTGATGGCGACGATGACTATGATGTCAAGGAGACCCTGGCGTCACTGCTGGCTCAGGGCCGTACGGCCGACGTGAACTCTAGCCAGTTCTGCGCGCAACCACAGGTCTTGAAGTCATTCAAGTGCAGTGAGCTAAAGGAAGATGGATACATCGTATCTGGACTGCTGGTTTTGACCGCCGACACACTGTTTGGCTTGCGAGACCTGACGTCGCGTCCCGGCTGGTCTGAGGTCCACCATCAGCTACCCCTTAGTAACCTGGTCAAGATCACTTCGAAGAAAAAGCACCCGGACTTGTTAACGTTTCACTTGGGAACGGTAGACCGGGTACACATGTCGGTCAAGTATTTTGTGCCGCAGGCTAAAGAGGCATGCAAGGCGCTGAAATCGGCAATCTTGGCTGATGTGGACCGTGCTAGCAAGCCCAACTCGAAGTGATTTCCTTCACAGTGTTCCTACCAGTTGACCGGGCGTCTTCTCTGTACTGTCTGTGATGGCGTGGCGCATTATTACTATTAGCGGCGCCCTCCAGCAACTGCCAGCTGCCTTGATGAATAGCTAGCTGGTGTGCATGCAACTGATGCCTAGTGATGGTACGTTTACTGTATATACAGCCTGAACGCTGCACACCATCTGTGTACATATTCTCAAGTCATCCTATTCTCAAGTACTCGATTTTTATGTTGATCTTAGCTTCACCGACAGCATAGTACTTCAGTACTAGTATTTACTCTGTATCACGCAGCTAGTTATTGCCGCCATATGGACCTAGACTTTTCTGCACAAACGTGACTTTGTTACTCTGTGTCTTTGTTCTGTTGGACACTGCCACACACGTGCACATGCGCATGTTCGCAGCGCTACGCATTTCTTTGGTTTTATTCTATTTTATTTTTCGTCCGCTTTTGTGCACCGCCGGCCACTTAGTATTGTACTCGCTAACAATCTAACCGTATCAACAACCGCTATTCAGCACCTATATGCTGTCGTGTACAGTAACTGTGACTATTTACCAATGACCATGCAGATGAGTGGTTGTAGTTGTAGCCTTGATTCTCCTAATACCAGTACAGCACTACTATAGCTCTCAATGCCTATACCCGAGGATTCGGTATTCTGAACACTATCGCTCTCAATGCCTATACCCGGGGATTCGGTATTCTGAACACTATTGCTCTCAATGCCTATATCCGGGGATTCGGTATTCTGAACACTATTGCTCTCAATGCCTATACCCGGGGATTCGTTATTCTGAACACTATTGCTCTAGACCCCAAACGTGTTTGTTTTCAAGATCCAATCATGGGTTATTCGAATTTTGCTCCACTCTCGCCCTTTCAGTCCGTGTCATACCTGCTATGGCTTGTCTTGAGACACACAGCATAGACTGTTGTGGCGGTACACTATTTTTCCACAGATTTTAATTATTTGAATGAAAAACTTGGAAGAGGAAAACCTGTTGCTCCCAATCAAGTTTATCACCGGATGTATTTGTTTGCTCCTGATTGACTGTCGTACTGTACTGAGTGCTCTGAGAGTGCAATGTGTGTGGCTGTGGCATCACCACTCATCACTGGTCGGGGCCAGCGATCGCAATCGTGAGTTGCAGACCACAGATCATGTAGAATTCTAAACACAGGGCACCATGATCTCGCGTCATCTCCCTAGATGCTTCGACTCCCTGGGTGCCGCTGCACACACACACACACACACACACACACACACACACACACACACACACACACACCATGTACCATGTATACGCCCGTCGCAAGAGAAGCACGCAAATCTGGAAATGCACTGGATGTGCACCCACACATTTTCTCTTACAGCAACGATAGCGAACAAGATCTGAATGAGACAGATCAAGACTTGCGACTGGTCGGGGCTGTGTCTGGGGCCAGCGATCACAGTCGTGAGTTGCAGACCACAGATCATGTAGAATTCTAAATACAGGGCACTATGATCTCGCGTCATCTCCCTAGATGCTTCGACTCCCTGGGTGCCGCTGTACACACACACACACCATGTACCATGTATACCGTATTATCTCTAATATAAGCACGGTCCTTTATTTTTTCAATGTACCTCCGCCCCGTGCTATTAATGGAGACGTTCCTTTATTGGAGACTGTTCCATTATTATTTCAACCTCATTTCAGAGGCATGTTGTCATGGCCAAATTCATGCCAGACACACACATTTCAGGGATTTTTTCGCCGGTACAGATAATGAATTTACACAGTGTGCTTATAATGGAGACTGAGCACTTTATTTTTTGAATGCCGCCCCAACGTGTTCTATTATTGGAGACGTGCTATTATTGGAGACTGTGCTTCTATTAGAGATAATACGGTACGCCCGTCGCAAGAGAAGCACGCAAATCTGGAAATGCACTGGATGTGCACCCACACATTTTCTCTTACAGCAACGATAGCGAACAAGATCTGAATGAGACAGATCAAGACTTGCGACTGGTCGGGGCTGTGTCTGGGGCCAGCGATCACAGTCGTGAGTTGCAGACCACAGATCATGTAGAATTCTAAATACAGGGCACTATGATCTCGCGTCATCTCCCTAGATGCTTCGACTCCCTGGGTGCCGCTGTATACACACACACACACACACACACACACACACACACACACACACACACACACACACACACACACACGCGCGCACACACACACACACACACACACACACACACACACACACAATCTACTCATGCAGCCAAGGATGAATCTCTGAGACTGTACTGTAAATTCACGTTCACATGAATCCAATCCGCACAAACTCGCATGGTGGTGCAAGACACCAGGCAAGGCAAATGCACCGGACCAACTGCCAGTATTGGCAGCATGACCGTGCAAACAAAAAAACGAAACTATAACAGATGACCAAAAGCGCAAACAAATTAAAAGGCAGCAAGATTAGAAATGGGGTAGATGTCAGCAGCATCGGCAAAACTTGCAGTTGCAGGTCGATGACACTCAATCACTGGACAGAAGTAAAAAAAAGTGAGTAAATTATCGTGTCCGTTCCCGAAGGGAACTCACGACGGCTGCTAACACCCGGTAAACCCTAGGGTTTACTGGACAGAAGTAGAGTACTAGAACTGGCTGAGTGTAGTGAAGATCATGGCAAAGTACCAGGTCGTAACAAACAGCATGTTCAAGATGAACAAGAAAACAAACAGAGTACTGCAGGCAATCTCGTCCGCTGCTGGGATACCCGACCATATAAGGGATCAGCACGTGTGTGTGATCAGTAACTGTGCACACTGTGATAGTATGGTAAGAATGATCCTGGGTTGCTAGCACGTCTCTGAAGTGAACCAGTTGCAAAGCAACAACCGGAGCAGCCTTAAATGCTGTCTACTCTGCCACCTTGTACTGGTTTATGAGCACGCGATTCTCCTGCCGCATGGCGTTGCAATCGGACTCAATCCGCTGCAAGTTCTGCGACATGCCTTTCTTCTCCTCTTTCTCAATCTGAACAGGGCAAACACAGAAACCAATGGAAGAACAAAGCATAGTTTGAGAGAGAGAGAGAGAGAGAGTGTGTGTGTGTGTGTGTGCGCGAACGCGTGCGCGCGCGCGTGTGTGTGTGTGAGAGAGAGAGTGTGTGTGAGAGAGAGAGAGAGACACACACAGAAACACAGCGAGAGAGTGAATTATACATGAAAAATGGCTGAAATCAGTCTATAAACTTAAAAAGTCACACCAGATTAACGTACCTGATCTTCAAGCTCTCGGTTCTCACGGACAACGATGGCAGTCTCACGAATAGCCTCCAGTAGGCCAGAGAAAGTCTAGACAGAATACAGGCACATGCCCGGACACACACACACGTAAACACACACAGGCACACACATGGATAACTTAGTACATGCACTTATACTTATGGAAGCCAGCACGGCAGCAGCTACGTAGATGAAGGACTGGGTGATTCCGGAATCAGAAGAGTATCAAACCAGGACAAAAGTGCAGTTACCTCTACAAGCAATCATGGTAGAAGAGTTACTGTAAATATACAAATTTTCGGCAGCTATTTAATTTCGGCTATATTCAGCACCGACCCAAAACGCCTAAATTAAAACGCCGATGAAATTTTTCACAGCATCTGTCGCACTATACCATGCCCTCTGCCCACGCCGAAAATAAATCGCCGCCGAAATGTCAAAAATCGTGAAGTGCCGAAATTTTGCAGCGCCGAAATTTTGTATATTTACAGTACCGTATTTTTCCGGTTGTAAGTCGACCTTTTACGACTTAAAATAGAAGGAGAAAGGGCGGGGGTCGACTTACAACCGGGATTCGACTTATAACCGGGAACTATCAGTATCTTACAAAAAAATGACCTGCACTGCATGCACGAGTGCACCATGTTTACACATTTTGCCAGTTTATTGGCCTTTTTCAAGGATTGGGACGTTATATCCTCCAATAAGGAATGTTTACATGATTTGTTGTTGTGTTAGTAGCAGGGAGTGGTTAGTAGTGCTTCTTTGGGTGAAAACTTTAAAACGCAGAATTGAGACCTCCAGATAGGGGGGTCGACTTATAACCGGGGTCGACTTACAACCGGTAAAATACGGTACATTGTTTATTACCCAATGCACAAGTCACACTCATACAGCCATACTCACCCTCACAGACAGACAGACAGACACACACAGACAGACAGACAGACACATAGACACAGGTACATACACACACACATACACATAGACGCAGGTACAGACGCACTGACACAAACACACACACCAACTCACCTCATGCAACTTAGCAAGCAGCTTGTAAATCTGCCGGTTGATCTCATGTTTCTTACAATCCTGTAGGTGACACAGCAGAGAATCATTAGAAATATGTTTCACTGCAAACGTATGGTCAGCCCAGAAATGTGCTAGACAAGACGATGCCGCTATGATGGCAGACAAGCAACAACAGGGCTACTTAAAACATAAACTAAGGCAGAGAGAGAGAGGGGGAGAGAGAGAGAGAGAGAGATAGAGAGAGAAAGAGAGAGAGAGAGAGAGAGAGAGAGAGAGAGAGAGAGAGAGAGAGAGAGAGAGGAGAGGGAGAGAGAAAGAGAGAGAGATAGAGAAAGAGAGAGAGAGAGAGAGAGAGAGAGAGAGAGAGAGAGAGAGAGAGAGAGAGAGAAAGAGAAAGAGAAAGAGAGAGAGAGAGAGAGAAAGGGAGAGAGAGAGAGATAGAGAGAGAGAGAGAAAGAGCAAGATAGGGAGAGCACTCTTATAATGTGGACGCTGTATGTAGGGAACACAGGTGGCAGCGGAAACAAGGTTCTAGGCTAAAACAACACAGAGGAGTTTCCCTGCAAAACAAGCTTGTAACTCAGGAAACTTACAACAAATATGACTTCATCTGCAACAGCAAATGCACGTTCTAGCTCTCCTTCAAGGTAGTTTATGTCCTTTTGCAGTTGACGAGTGTCCGACAGAATCTGAAAAGTAACAAGAAGGGTGTGCACACACAAGTCAGCCTTACAGAAACAGAAAGTTACAGAATATATACAAGTTGAAAACTACCGTATTCCCCGTAAGTTAGTACGTACTAACTTTCGAACTTAGCAGCCACATGATTTTCGGGGGTGGTACTATCTTTCGGGGAGTACTTTTTTATCGGGGGTAAATGACACGCAGTGGGAAGCCTGCGCAACTCTAGTGTCTGTGCATATGATGTATGTACTGTACGGTGTCTGTACATGTAGGGCGGGTACGAACTTACGATCTTTCGGGGGGAACTGTCTTTCGGGGTGATAACCTCGGCAGTGGAAAGTGTATTTTTTATACGGGGGTAATAAGTCATTAGTGAGGTTCTGCCACACGGTAAAACGTGCCAAAGTACGTATGGAAACTTTGCCGCGGTACGGGATTTAGTTTGATACGGATTTTTTCATACCGTTTTCCGTGTGAAGCGCGCTTCACACGGACTGGACTCCGTGTGAAAAGTGAGCGTACAGAGCTAGCTACATCGAGTACATGTACATGTGGCGGGGTGTTCGTGCATGCTTCGAGCATGCTACGTACAGCAGAACCGGTGCAACGTAGGAAAAATCCGTGTCAAACTTCACTGCAGTTGACACGGAATTTGGTACGTAGTTCCGTGTAGCAGAACCTCTCTAATGGGGAGAACTAACTTACGGGGAAATACGGTAGTGTATCAAAGGTATAGCAGGGAGCTTTCACACCATGAAGTTCATCATGTATCAACTACTCCAGGCTTTCATTTCTGTGGAGTCTGTCCCTTTTTCTTTTTCTTCTTCTTCTTCACATTTTGCAAGATGTACTTCACCAACAAAATTCAGTCCTAACTTGTAAAAGTCGTGGGTGCTTCGGGAGTGAGAAATAGAGCTGGGAATAAACCTAGTTCGGGAGAACAAATCTACATGCATGAACATTATTGAGTATGGCAAAGTACGTTCCCATGGGATGCATTCAAGCCGTTGTGGACGTTCCCTGCGCACGTCCTTCACAACTGGAGGGCACGCAGCTCTCTGGAATTGACGTGTCGTCCCAATGATGCGTACTTTGTGGTGCAACACTGCCCTACTGTCACTTCTTACAGGACCTCACAGGCTAGCCTGCCCAATGCAGAGGAAGCGGAAAGCAACCGGCTGCAGACTTACCTTTTGGACTTCATCCTTCTGCTTCTTGATATTGTTGATGATCTCCATAATGCGGCGGGTATACGCAGATCGATTCAGGGTCTTGTTCAGCTGACCGAGTTCCTCCGACTTCAAACCAAATAAGATGAAAACACACGCACATACATAATGGCTATTGTGAGAGGCTACCAACGTCACATGAAGCAGTATGAGAAGCGGAAGAGCAAGGGCATTGACTCCAATGTTTAATTCTGCTCGGACTATCAAGTATAAACCCGCGGTGAAAAACCGAAGCATAACTGCAGAGATATAAAAATGATTCATCCATCGTTGGGAGAAAATGTCTGCAGTGGTTGCTACTTTCTGAAAATGACAAGCTCACACTTGGTAAGGTGCAGTACAGGTACTGTCTTACCAGCTGCTTATTCAGATACTCCTTGGCGCGACCGTCTTCCATCAGCTCCTTGATACGCTGACGTATGTGTGGTATCTCCTCCAGCATCATCTTCGTATCACCCTGGTGAAAACGTGGCATTGACACAACCAAAACAGTGGAATATAAACCATATTAGTCTATCGAAAAACCTGCCAATTTGGCAAAGGTTCGTTAGGTTGACTGTACATTTTAACTACACGTACAACCATCTTTACAGTTGGCAGAATCTCGGCCAATGAGACCGCATGAACTGTTATTAGGAACGAAGACATCCCTCGTTCGGACCCGTCTCTGGAGCAGGGAGGGGGGCTACGGAACCATCATGGGTAAAACAGTTTCCCAGTTTTTTTTCCTAAGACAAACATATACCACCCGTATCCTGTCCCTTAGTCTTTATATTATAAAACAGTGGAAGTATGCTGGGTCCATAGTTAATACTAGCTTACTGATCATCATTACCTGACCAGACAACATCACGTAAGTAGCTATGGTTGGGGTAGCCAACAAAATAGTAGTTGAAATTACAATCATCTCCAGGTGAAGTAACAGAAACTCTTCTCTCTTGTAGGAATGCACACACAAAAGGAAAGAGCCACCCCCCCCCAAAAAAAATCCGATATGGGAAAAAGAAGCATGCAGCACACAGATTTGTGAGACATTCTCAATAATTCTCTGCTGGGAGAACAATAATAAGATCGCTTACCGAAAGCTCAGACTGGGCACTCTTGAGTGCGCGATGCTGCGCGATCAGTGGCTGCCGATGCTTCTCCCACTGCTCGGCCAGAGTGACAAGACGCTGTGAGGCTGCATCCACCAAACCCTGCATAGCATCATCACACACGCACACAAACATGCACACATATTCACCACACACCGAGAATGCATGCGCAAGGAAAAGAAAACACCAACAGTTTCAACTATCGAACCCTGGTAGCAGTATAATAAGATGTCATACTGAACAAGCTGCACCGACCAGATAAGTACTAGACTTGCAACTGGGATGCCGTCAACACAAGTAAGATCATTACAGACACGAAAAATAGAAGAAAGAAAGACAAGACGAAAAAGAGAATGATAGTCATCTCAGTGTCCGGAATGCTGACCTGCAATTGGCCTAGATTCTCGTCCACATTGGAGAGCATTTCCAATGCTCGTTTCTTCAGCTTGTACTCGTCCTTGCCGGTACTATTGGCCTCTACCAGAGTCTTGCTCTGTTCCTCCACCTACAACAGAAAATAATTCAGAGAGATAGGGGTAAGCCATCAGCCGTGATTCAAATGGGGTGTCTGGTGCTGAAATTGCTCAGCAACAGCCAAAACCAAATGGAAAGTAGCAATACGAAGCATTCATTGCCAGTCACGGCCACCACGTCAGCCAAGAAGCGTCTTCTCCTCCGCTATAGGGAGTACTTGTGGGTACTTTAAGTCTACAAATGTTCGGCGTCCCAGGACTAAAACACATTTCGGCCACATTAAAATTTCAGCCTTTATCGCTGCTGCCTGCATACACTGTCACACTGAACCTTGTAAAACAATATTTCAGCCACAACAAATTTAGGCCATAATTGCCCAGGCCGAAAATAGACGAAAATAAATAAGCTCTAACCTGTGAATGATAAATATGCGGCGAATACTTGGTCTTGTTGACTGACAGTACGTACAAGTACATAATATGCCCGTACTGACCTTGCTCATGCTAGTAGAGAACTTCTGCATATCACCCTCCATGGTTAGCACAGCTTCACTGGCAGCATCCAGCTTAGAGCGCAGTGCAGTCAGCTCATCTTCACGACGCTGCTTGATTTCCTGTACGCACACACACGCGCGGTGGAAAGAACAGGACATGTAATCACGCACACGTTTTAAAGCCAACAAATGCAGTGCTAACAATATTTTAATGGTGGTATAAGGCCACACGTTTTTATTTCTATGTTTCTTGTCCCCGCGCGCATACGATTCAGGAGTCTGGAAGAAAAAAAGAAAGAAAAAACTGTGCTGCACTGACTGCGCATGTGGGGACCAGCACACTCATGCACATGTACATAATGTAGCCTGGCCTGCGCGACACATGATGCGAGGTCGGCATTTCTTGTGCGCAATCTAGCTGCACATGCACAGATTGTGACAGAAGCTCCTACCACATACTAGTTGCTAACGATGGATGCTATTTTGCATGGTGTATTGGTGGATTTTAGGGTGAACAAAGGTCTAATAAACTTCTTCTATTTTTCGGTCATTTTAATATATTTTTTCCACCTCTCGCATACGTTTTTAGTAGTGCTGAGTCGGGTAGCGTTTTCTTCGGGTATCGGGTTCGGGTAGATTTCCACGGGAACACGGGTACCCGATCGGGTAATGTTTCCATGGTAATACCACACTGCACCCCTTCCCTTACACACTGGGTGGACATGCGGGGTATTACATTGTTTGTACACATGCACTGCACATGATGTCGTCTGCGACTTCGGGTTTTCGGGTACTATTCTGTACCCGACTACCCGAGGTCCTCACGGGTAGCACGGGTACCCGACTACCCGTGCACACCCCTAGTTTTTAGATTTTCAGGTGACGAGAAACATAGAAATAAAATTGTGTGGCCTAAAATATAAAAAATTCACGGTTCGCATGCAAAGTCAGTCAGACTGACTTTTCCGCATATGTAGGAATGCAACCATCATCAAGGATCAAGCCTCAGTTGCAACTCCCATCGCTACGGGGGGGGGGGGGGGGGGTAATTCAATTGCAACATTCATAAGCTGTTCTTACCTCTTGTGTTTCCGCCGCTGGCGCAGCGGCTGTGGCTGCCACTTGACTGCTGACATCAGCCTATGGTACGGTATAGAAAAGATCCACAACACAGGATATCACGGCAGCACAAAGCAGACCACATCACTAGGATAACATGCAAGCACAAGCCGGAGTTACCGGCAACACATACAATGCAAGCAAGCAAGACAACACATCCAAACTTGGCATGGTACTCGCCTGTGTGAACTGCAGGTTCTTTGCATGGCTGAAACGCGATCCCTGCGAATCAGCGCCATGGGAGTCCGCTAAAGGTCAGGCAGTACAAACACACCAATAACAAAGCCAAATGATCAATGTCAATGTCAGTGTCACAGTATCAAAGAGTAAAAACTGGTAAATACTGCAAATACCAAGGAAGTAAGAGCCGAGAGTCATAGACATATGTGATGAACATACACGCAGTCAACCTCGTGAATAAAAACTCTCAATCGGGTGCGAGAAAAGGGTTGTTATTCACGAGATGTTGGTACACCCGGGGTCGTTGTTCATGAGGTTGACTGTGCTATATATACATGTAATACGACCCTACAGACTATGATATCAATGTGGCAGCTTAGACACACATGAACACGCCGTTGAGATTTGCTCCACGTGGAGGACACTCACAGGAAAACGAGTCGAGCAGCTCGGCAAGACTGCCGCGCAGCAAGGTGGACACACCACTGGTCAGCACACTGCCGCGTATGTTGTCAGTCAGGCGCTTGTGCAGGCGCTCTCGTTTGCGCTGACGGTACTCCTGCCAGGACACATACACAGGTGCAGGTGAACACTCAGTACTGACTCCAACAGGTTAAAGAGAAAAATCTATACAAATTGCGTTGCATTATTGTGCATATGTTATCCATATCATTACATTACTCTAATTTCAGACATTTTAGGTGCTCAAAATTTTCGGTATGAGAGCAAAAGGGCAGGTTAGGTGAACAGAAATTTTAGGTACAGAAAAGCAGTTCCCTTTTGGAATATGTGTGTAAGTGTTTGTTCGGTTATTGCAATTTTAGGCATGAAGTAGATGGACTGAAAGAACCGAAAACAAAGTACACCGAAAATTTGTGAAATTACAGTATCACCTTGAACACACTTCAGCCAGGGTATGGAACGCTCATGGTAAAGCAAGACACATTGCTAATACAGTAATACCAATGTGTTTCCGAGCCGTCATGCACAGTGACCTAAATACTGTACAGCAACTATACATCACTGTTGCATTACGTACCTGCTCAGAAAGACGAGATGGCAAGCCGTTCGTATTCCACTCGTGCTCCCACTCTGCAGCAGCCGTCACTTCCATGGTACTACGCTCAAGCAATGATGCAGCTACTTGGTGACGTTGCTGCGGCTGAGCGGTGACAAAGGGAAGGTGATTGCGATAGTAATGGCAAAGGTCTGCCAAAGAAACAAACATGACAATCAAGATATTCCATCAAAGCGCTGCTCTCTCTCTCTCTCTCATACTTATTATTCACATTTATTCTAGATAAACATACACATGTGCATGCGCATGCACACACACACACACACACACGCTCACCCCCCCCCCCCCCCATACACACATAATTTATAACTTACAAACGTGTACACATGGCTTAGAAGGGAATAACCAATGACTTGATGTGGAAGGTTCCATCTTATTCTAAAATCGTGTTTATAAGTGGTGTTCACTGAAGGCTCATTGGCAGAGTGCAATGCGCTGCTAGTACACGGATGGGGAGTTTACCTTTGTTCGTGCGTTTGCCTAGCTCTGCCAAGCCACTGGGTGCGGCTACAGGCACTGCCATGTGGGGACGAATTCCTTGATTTCCCTACGACATGCCATTCCACACACACACACATACACACACACGCACACACACACGCACGCGCACACACACATGCTCAGTTTAGAAGAAAAGAAAGAATACACACTCCAGACTCGGACAGCCAGTGTCCATTGCTTGACGCGCAGGCAGTACAAACAGCAAGGCGACGTCAGCAACGCAAGCTCCTGGCGTGCACAGTAGCACACTTTGTTTAGTGAATCTGCATCTTGCACTCTCCTCAGATCTTCAAAACAAATTCTAGGAAATACACACAAGGATACCAGCTAGAAGCAACTCCAAGCTGCACTTAAAAAAAAGAAGAAGTAAATTAACTTGTCCGTTCCCAAAGGGAACTCACGACGGCCGCTAACACCCGGTAAACCCTAGCGGCAGATGCAGCGCCTAACCGTGGGGGCAAGGGGATACGTCTTACAACCACTGGCACAACTCACAGCTGCACTTAGGGGTCGTCGCAAAAGTTTTCTGTCGTCCCTGAAACGAACATCGTTCATTTTGTACTTGGACCCCCTCCCCTCCCTCTGAAACGAACACAGCCTGCTATGCTGGACGACGAAAATCGCATGCATGTACATGTCATATGTACAGTGTCGGTCGACTTGCGATTTTGGCTCGCACCCCCTCCCCCCCCCCCCCCCCCCAAATGAATCATGTTCGTTTCAGGGACGACAAAAAACTTTTGCGACGACCCCTTACCTCCCATGTAATGCTGCCATCATCATGAGACACCAAGCCCTGCTCCTTGCAGAACAGTGGCGTCCATACTCTCGACCTTTCCCGAGCAAGAACAGTGGTTATGCGGTGGTAAAGGTGCGCACCAGATTCTGCAGCCAAAGAGCAGAAACACGTACAACTTTCTTGGACAAGAAATGAGAAAGCCTTGTTGATGCAAGGCAAAGAAATAAATATATATAAATCACTGCAAAAGACAGAAGCATGGAAATGAGATGGCTCATACATTTGACAAATAGAAGTACAGAATTGAACCTACTAGAGGAGTCTTCTGCATCTCCAGATTCCCGTGGCAGCTTTTCCAAGAGAAACATGAACACTCGACGGATGTCGGCCACATTGGAGTAGAGAAAGGTCTGGTAACCAACCTCGCCTTCAAATCCCACTTTCTGTGCAATCAAACACAACACAACACAATAAGCTACAATTGTAAAAGGAACATAATCACAAAGCATGGAACATGCTGCCAGCTTACATTATCTAAAAGACTACATGTACATCACATGCAGCCTGGACACATCTACAGCTGCGCTCACTGAAATCCAACCCCACAAAGTGCAAAACTGACGCCCTGGACCAGTTCAGTTCAGATGACATAACTGTACTAGTGTTGTGCATGTGTGCGTCCGGCAGCATCCGTACCACTTCCGGGGCGGCAAGGGTCGTGCAAGGTGAGGGCACCGAATATGCAATTTGGGTTGGATTTCACCGAGGACAACTGTACTATATCTACACACTATACAGACTAGAGACTACATGTATGTCTACATGTACTTCTACTCAGACAACTTGTGAAAGTCAGCCTGCTGCTTCACACAACACCACCAGGAGCAGCAGGAGTGTGAGCAGCAGAGGCGGTGGACAAAGCAGCAGAAGCAGAAGCACAAGCAGCAACATCTGCAACAACAAATGCAACGCATTCGCTTCACCCGCTGCCAAATTGTCCAAATTTGATAATCGTGAAAGAGATGTAATGACTTTGGCGGCGGTGATTACAGAGAAGCTGGCTGCACCCAACAAGGAGCTTACACTTCCTCGCAACTTGCCTGACACATCAGTGACACACATGTCGGTCAAGTCGACAAGAAGCACGAACTCTACGTTGGGTGCAGCCAACTTCTTGTCAGCTGTGGGCATGCTAAAGAGAATCCTCTTGACAAACACAGCTGCGAAGTTACACATCAATTCCCGGGACAACTGGGCAATTATAGGACATCGTGATCACTGATAAAATAAACAACGTACCTTGCAAGCATTGGCCAGAGCGGTGCCGACACGAAAGCGAACGGACATGCTCTCAGGCAAGCGAGTGGGAAGCTCAATCGACTCATCGATCAGCTTCAAACACCTGGCGCATCCTTCTACAACTTGATCTGTGCTGAATGTAGTAAGGCTAATAGTGTTTTCATCGATGGCACTATAAACAAACAAGGCAGAACAGTACTTATTACCGGGAGGGAGTGTTGTAAAGGAGTCTCAGCTATAACCGTCACAATATCTCTCCCAACCGATCTAGTTGTAACACAGTGAGTTTTTCAAGCGTATGGAAGCTCCACTGCAGCCAACTCATGATACACTGTTTGCATTCCACGACGAAGTGAGTACGAGAAAAATCCCACATGGACGGATGGATGAGTCTGAGATAGGATCGCCGGAAGCAATTTTCTATTGGTCCAGTAGTGTCATGGCTTTTCATGCGTTGTGTATGATATGGCGGGTACACAGTCATGCCCTCCACAGTCCCACAGTACTGTAGTAAACAGGACTTGTGTTGGTGGCCAAACAGTTGGTCCGGTGATAACCTGACCAGCCGGAGCAGTTCTGGCGGGCCTGAATCATGAGACACTCACTCGTATAAACGAGACTTGCTGCAAAGCTATTACGAATCCTCAAGCCAGATAGCGGTAATAAAAGAGCATGTTCACCCAGCTTGTCTTGTACTCCAATGAAAGTGTGAAATGTCTCTAATCATTGAAAACACCAGCACTACCAGCACTGTTTCAGGCACTGTGATCAAGCCTCAATTTCAACAGTTTGGAGAGGATCATAGTGCTGTCTGAGGCTTGATGGTGGCAGTGTTTTCAATCATTCTGAGCTGCTCACGTCTTGAAATGCGCTTTCTACTCTTCTTGTGTTGTTCTCAGGAGATCTTGAGAGTGACATCTAAAGTGCCATCTAAAGGCCACTGTTTCAGTATTGCTGTCAAAAGTTCGCATAGCTACATCACGATAGTGATGCGTGTTCTCTGGACTAAAGAGTAAAAACGTGTTCTAATGTTGTGCAAAGAAATAGTTCAATAAATCCTAAACCTGACTATCTACATATTTATACAGGCCCAGCCGTAAATTAATTACTTGAACAGAGAACACTGACTCACCAGCCAATTTGCCTCAAGCTGACAACAATAATATTGTCTACTTCATCCATGTCTTCCTTGTCACGATGACACGATTACTAAATCTTGGGTAATTCTATCGTGCTGATGAACAAAGCCGTTAGGCACAATCAGTATCTATTGGCTTTCGAAGGAACTTTATAATAGTCTTCAAAGTTACTTGTTTCAGAAAAAACAAAACTGTTGACCTGAACTGCCACTCGCCACATCACACGAAACGTCGAAAGGAAACAGTTTGACTTTGAACTGCTCTTGTTTCTTCTGTACATCACTCATCAGGTGACCAACTCACCAAAAAATATTGTCACGTGTCGAAGGTGTGTGAAACACTGAACTGTGCACTGACTCTGTGCATGTGCAGTCAGTGTGCAGTGTGCACATTGACAAAGGACGAAAGGTACTTGTAGGTACAACCAAGAGTACATAACCCCCCAGAGTGTGCAACGCCTAGGATCCAGCTCTGTGTAGGGTCTTGGTCGAGCGGAATCGGATCTTTGCGTCATAATACCGTACACATCTGAGGGGAACCCGGGGAGTCGCGGGTACTCTTGGATCAAAAACAATGGTGCCCTGCCTCGAGACCGGCCTTGCGCTGGTGCGAAGTGTACGCATGACATCAGAAGATCCGATTCCGCTCGACCAAGACCCTACACAGAGCTGGATCGGCGTTGCACACTCTGGGGGGTTATGTACTCTTGGTACAACACTACACTATTTTTTTTGTAGGTGTGTGACCATGGTGACCACTGGGCACTAGCACTGGCCAGTGCAGTGGTGAGTCTGGTGACCACGTGACTGTGTGATCGGCTGATCGCGACCATCGCGTGATGCGTAGACCCGGTACCGCGGTATACCGCGTAGATCTACCGGTACCGCGCGCCTAGCGCCTACATTACTACAATCCGAGATATAACTTTGTAGCGCTTTGGTCTTTTTTTGGAGTCGCTCTGTTCTACGACTTGTCTCCCGGCTCGATCGCGCGAGCCGTGTACTGACCTGCTGAGTCGCTGTGACATGACAGTGAGCCCGAGCTTTTACCAGGTTTACTCTTTTACTTTTAGTGAGCCTGACCACCAAGCTCCAGAGTTCGCGCTTGGCTATGCTGGCCACCGACTAACCACTGTACACTGTTCAAGTCGGAAGAGTTTATCCGGCCATCTAATTCTTGCTTGCTATTTTGTTGTCTCTACAACAGAAAAATTATTCAGTCTGCCAGTGTCGAGAAGTGGCTGAGTGGAGACCAAGTCCACCGGGGTTCAGTTTTGGTATCCTCAGATCGTGGATGATGGTCACACCCACTACAAGTTGTAGTGTAGGTCATGCGGCTAATGTCCGACTCTTCAAGCAGTCATGTAAAACAATCGCAACGCAGATGATACGAGGGTCGAAGAAGTTATCGATAGGAGACATTTGAGGACGCTCAACGAAGTTACGATAACCGTCATAAGCAACAGCTCCCAAGTGCATGCGCACAGACTCAGTGATGGCCGTGGTGGAGGTAGTCGATCCGCGTCGGAAGCGTAGCGGATCAACGCGCATTGCCGACCCTAGCTCCGGCCTAGCGCCTAGCCTCCACTCCCGGTCCACTCTCCACAGAGATCTAGGGAGTGGCAGTAGGAAACATCCGCCGCCATGATCACCGACCGTGTGGCAGATGGCCAGTGTGACTGTCACACTGTCATCAGTGGAGCGCAGTGGGCCGTAGCAGCGACTACAGTACAGAATGTCACAATGCAGCGTCGCCTAGTAATGACTGAGGTTCATTATTCCGTTCCGTGGTCCCGTTTGTTGGCGTGTTGAAACCACAACGAACGGAGCTGGAGGTGAGTACGTTGACCACTACTACGGGTTGGCAGTAGAGGAGACGGTTTCAAATAGGACATAGGTTGCAAACCGGAACGGTCTAAATATTCACTTTCTCTGAGTCTTGGTATTTTGATTAGAAAACGTATGTCACAGTGAGACTACGATGTGTTTTACTCAGCGCCAAAATTCCATGGCTCTGCGATGACCAGAAGCGCCATACCAAGCATTTGAGTTTTCGACGTGTTGCTTCCCACTGCGACTTGAGTTTTACCTCTTTTGAAAAATCAACTTCTTGTCGCAGGTAAACAGCGGCTCGCCTCTCGCCAATAAAGAACCGTATACCAATGAAAACTAATGGAAGCACACACAAGGCTTATTGGTGCTCTGTACTGGCCGTCGTGGAGCCATAGCAATTACCTAATTTCAGACCCAGAGTGAATTTGACGGGCATTCTAAAACCTGTCCGGTTTGGAGCCACCTCTGTAAACACCAAAAATTGAGGGCAACTAAGTTACTTGGAGGCAACGGGCCAACACAAAGGAGGGGCTCAGATCGATCGACTCTGGCCTCAGAACAAACTTCCACATGCCAGCTTCCTTCCACAAACATATTTCGAGTGAACAATCCATACTGATGATCGGATTGGGTCTACACAATTTTGCTGTCAACCCGTTCCGGTATCGAACCGTCGCCTCTACATGTACTGCATAGCTGCTTGACTGGTCGAGGTCAGCCGCACTGCAGTGGTGCCACTAGTGGCATCGCCATTCTTCCGTGAGAATGTACCAAGCATGTCATAACAAATGCAGGACAAGAGCCATTTTGTAGTTGTCACTCTGAGATGAGAATGCTTACCACTGCCATGCCAGTAGTTGTATGTAGGTCA